GCAGTAGACGGGCGGCGGGGCCGCTGAAGTAGGGCGGCGGGGCCGGTAAAGCAGGGCGGCAAGGCAGCGAGAGAAGGGTGGCGGGGCCGCGAATTCGGGGCGGCGGGGCCGTGAAAACGGGTGGCGGGGCCGCACTAACAGGTGGCGGGGCCGCTAGGGGAGGGAGGGCCGCTAGGGCGGCTCGTCGAGGTAAGAGCCTGAGGCGCGACTCGGGATGAGCGCGCTTCGGGCAGGAGAAAAAAAAAAATCGAAGTGGTGGGCCCAAGACACAGTTCCCACAGGGGAACCTGCTCGATACCATGAGAAGAGTTGAGCAAGAATCAATGAACTATGAATGAACTGAGTACAAGTACTAACCCTAATTGGGTTGTACCCCTTATGGGCTACCCCACTATAGCCTACACAATATGCAAAAGCTATAAGTTCTGACATCACGCGTCACCTGGGTGCTCGTCGACCGTGCAGCAGTAAATGGGAGAAGGATTCTTTCCGGCAAATGGGTCTTCCGAGTGAAGACAGGAGCTGACGGAAGGATTGAGCGGTTCAAGGCACGCTGGGTGGTGCGCGGCTACGATCAAAGGCACGAGATTGATTTTGACCAGACATTTGCACCGGTCAGCTGTCACACGTCCGTCAGAATTCTCCTCGCCATCGCAGCCGCACGACACCTACCACTCCGGCAGATCGATGTGAAGAATGCATTCCTGTACGCGTTAGTGGACGCCGTGATCTACGTGGAACAGCCACACACTTAAGGCGACATAGACCCACCCGTCCGTCAGCTACGCAAGTTCCCCTATGGGATCAAATAGGCACCGAGACTATGGCAGCAGTATCTGCACAACATACTGCTTGAAATCGGGTTCAAGTAGCTGCCTCACGATCCTGGAATTTATCACCGCGATTTCCGCGGTGAATACATCCTCCTCACGGTCTACGCCGACGACCCTCTCTACACAGGCTCAAGCAACAAACTGCTCGAGCAATTTGAGAGAAGCATCGCAGGGCGCATCGACATCACCTGCAATCCTGACGTGAAGCTGTTTCTCGGACTCAACATCACCTACTCGCCGGAAGCCATTCATCTCTTAGCAGCAAAGTATGCGGAGGAGCTTAGCAAGCTCTTCAACATTGCGCCTGCACCACTCTCCACCCCTTACTGCACTCCAAGACCCAACCACAAGCCAGACAACAAAGCTCTGTCCCCTGCTGAGCTTCACACTTACCAGCAGCAGTTGGGATGCCTGCTTTTCGCATCTGTTACCTGCAGGCCCGATCTCTCCTACATTGCGAGCTAGTTGGCTCAGTACTCACGCAAACCAACGGCTGAGAATCTCTCAGATCTTCAGCGAGCCCTTCAATTCTTCATCTCCACGCCGAATGTCGGGCTCAACTATTCCACCATCCCAACCACATCCTTCAGCCTCGTCGGCTACGTGGATGCCGATCACGTCGCTGATCCTGACAATCGACGGTCCAGGACAGGGTTCCTCTTCCGCCTCGAGCCCAGCGGCCCCATCTCCTGGAACTCTCAGAAGCAGGAGTTGGTTGCCCTGTCATCGACGGAAGCTGAATTTATCGCAGCAACAGAAGCTGTTCGCGAAGGTCTCTACCTTCAGGAACTGCTGCAGGAAGCGAAAATTCCGGCCTCAACAAACTTTCACCTGCACTGCGACAATCAGAGCGAGATCAGGATCGCGAACAAACCTGGCTTCGTCAACCGCACCAAGCGCATCGCACTGGAGTACTTCTTCGTCAAGGACGAGGTTGACAAAGGCAAAGTTGACCTGACATACTGCCCAGCGGGTGACATGGCAGCAAACTTCCTCACGAAGAAACTACCGCGTCAGCAGTACCAGCACTGCTCCAAACTCAGCGGGTGAGTCAAGCGGGTCAATGCTTGCTACGGCAAGGAGTGAAGGGGGGTGTTACGAATAGTGGTTAATGAAAAACACTACTGCGCACTCCTCACCGTAGCAAAGCCGAAGCACGCACTATCGAGAGTGAAGATGAAAAGGCAGAAGAAATGCGAAGGGACAGACGGTCACGAGGAGCATCTGGACCGTCGGGCAGACAGCATCAGGCAGCAGCAGTGGCGATGATTCTGCCCGAACAGTTACGTAACCACTCGGAGTCGCACGGTTGGATTTCGCTGCAACAATGGAATGTACCCGTTATAGTACATGGCTAGTTAGTGTCAGAACATTATCTTATTGTTCTAGCCTGTAGTGGGGTGCTCTATAGCGAGTACAACCCTTCTAGGGTTTGCTATTTGTATCCTCATTCTTGCTAGTTCAATCCTCTTTCTTCCTTCTAACTTTAACATGCTATCAGAGCAGGTCGATCCCCTTGGATCGATCCTGTGGGTGGGCTTACCACCGCTTAGCTTCCGCTGCTACTACTGCTACTACTCTCTGAGCCGCACGCCCCGTGGCGTGCGGCATTTTTTCTTCCCGCCGTGCGCCCCGAGGCGCGCGGCGGTTTTCTGCCCGCCGTGCGCCCCGAGGCGCGCGGCGGTTCTCTGCCCGCTGTGCGCCCCGAGGCGCGCGGCGGGCTTCCGCCCCGTCGACCCACGCGTCGCCCTCGGGAGGCGCTGCGACGGGCGACGGGGACCCGTCGCGGCCCCGCCCTACGTCGCGGCCCCGCCCTATGTCGCGGCTCCGCCCTACGTCGCGGCCCCGCCCCTCGAAGCGGCCCCGCCCTACGTCGCGGCCCCGCCCCGACCGTCGCGGCCCCGCCCCTTGTCGCGGCCCCGCCCTACGTCGCGGCCCCGCCCTACGTCGCGGCCCCGCCCCTCGAAGCGGCCCCGCCCTACGTCGCGGCCCCGCCCCGCTCGTCGCGGCCCCGCCCCTTGTCGCGGCCCCGCCCTCCAACCAGGCCCGTGGTGGGCCCCTTTCACCACACCGCCTCCCCCCCCCCCCTGCCATTTCCCGTCGCCCGTCGCGGCTCCTTCGGGGCTGTGGGGTGGCGGGTATGGGGGTGGCCGGTGTGCCTTCCTCCCTTTCTCCTCCTCCTCCTTCGTCTCCCACTGCTGCAGCTGTCGCTGAGGGGGGTGGTTGTGTGGGAGACTGGGTTTAGGGTTTAAGGGGGGTGCGTGGGAGTGGAGCTAGCGGTGTAGCAGTGGGTGTGTATCAGGGGGGTGGGACTGTGTGCGGGAGGATGAGTGGAGGTTGCTAGTTTGTCGTCAGCAGTACCTGTAGTCCGGGGCGCTGTCCCGGTATCCCAGTGAGCTAGACTTCTACGCCAGCCGCCCGTGGGTCCGTTGCCCGTCTGCCGCTACTTGAGCCGCGGGGCCTGTTACTCCTGTAGTCCGGGCGCTGTCCGGTAGCCGCTGTGCCAGTCTGCCTCCTGTTGCCCGTGTGTCTGCAGCTTCTTCCGTCGCCTCCTATCTCCTCTCCCCTCACTCTCTCTCCTCCTCGTCACTTGCCCGTTGTGACTACCACTAGCTTTGCTCATAATTGTGAACTCTAAACTTTTGCTTCTTGAACTTGTGCTCAGAATGTGTGGTGACATTGTGATCCACCCTGAGCTTGTATTGCTTTGCCTGCTCTGCTGATTACACCCCACTTTGGCTATGGGGGTGTGTCAGAACATTATCTTATTGTTCTAGCCTGTAGTGGGGTGCTCTATAGCGAGTACAACCCTTCTAGGGTTTGCTATTTGTATCCTTTTTCTTGCTAGTTCAATCCTCTTTCTTCCTTCTAACTTTAACAGTTAGGTCGTTTCGAATTCCCCTGTACTCATACTTATATTCCTTGTACTGCACGTTTTTATTATCTCAAGCTTTTACATTCACTCTGTTATTGAGGTCACCACCAGTAGGCTAGAATTGTGCGAACCTTCCTGAGGTGATCTTGGTTACGATTATTTTTTGATCGCAACAGTAGGTGCCCTCCACTTTAGTGCAACGGTGTTGTTGTGTAGGGAGGGACGAGGTGGCATAATAAAGAAGCATTTTTCTCCAATCCTACATGAAGAATTTGCACTCGTACACTCTTGAAGGCATGCATTCGCACACATGCAGAATAAAACGCAAGTCTACGCACCAAAGAAGTCTATATTAACACGCTATCTTAAGCATGTTGCAAGATGATGCTCTGGATGATTTTCCAACCTATATATTTCATCTGAAGTCAACAATGATATCATTTGAACCGTTGTTATGCTGAGGTTCCAATTTGGACTGTCTAGACAGGTGTATTTATAGTGACACGATATTTTAGATGAATGTATCGGTAACTTGGCAAAAAACGAAATGTGGGCGAAATCAGACTTTGTGTGAGCGAGATGGAGCAGCAGCCCTTAGAATTTGGGGATTCAAAACCCTGAGCTGCGAACAGAGTCGTCACGCTGAAGCTAGAAGCACAAGCCCACATAGATTTTGGCCTGGCCCCGAACCTCTCAAGTTTGAGAGGTCCGGATGTCGTTTGAAAGGGTTTGGCTGTATGGTTTCGATTCCCGAATTTCAAAACTCCGAAGTTGAATCCGAGACGCCTCACACCTCACCAGCCAAATTCGCCCAAACTCACAAAGCGAAATTTGAAATCTCGTGTTTTGTATGTCGCGATTCAAACCGCATCGCATCTGTCTGTGCCTACCTGTCTCCGAACCAGCTGCCAAGCCTGCCACCATACCAGACCCACCCGAGAACCCAAGACAAATTTCTCCTTCCCCTGTGATCCCAGAGCCAGTGACCCCCTTCCAGATCTGCACGCGCCTCGATGTGATTGTCTGCTCTCGCTGCTGTGCTCTGCTGCTGGTCAGGCTAGCTGATAAAAAGGCTGGCTTCAGCCGCTATTAGTTCAACTAATCAGCTCAGCTCTCTATCGTTCCTCTTCACCTCTTGACCGGGTGATCCTAGCTTCCTCATTACGCTTCCTTGAAAGCTTTACTGTGCGCGATAGGTATCACTCAACCATCAGTGTTCGCCTTCTTGCTGTTCGATTCCACAGCGCGAGACTGGTCTTATCTACAACGGACAATCAGCGACATCAACAGCCATGTTCGTCATTAAGCGTGACGGCCGCAAGGAGACGGTGCACTTCGACAAGATTACCGCAAGACTGAAGAAGCTGAGCTATGGGCTCAATCCGGACTTCTGCGATCCGGTTGTCGTTGCTCAGAAGGTCTGCATGGGTGTGTACAAGGGCGTCACTACCTCGCAGCTTGACGAGCTCGCTGCTGAGACCGCTGCTGCAATGACGTCAACTCACCCCGACTACGCCATTGTCAGTACCGAAGCCTAAATTACTCCCTCCAATGCTTCGTTCTGAAGTATCGATGTACTTCGTATCCCGCATTGGTCTGTCGAGGTCCGCCTCCATCAAGAAATTACAGTGTGAATTAACAATTTCTGTGGCTTTTCTCTGTGTCATTCCAGCTCGCTGCGAGGATCGCGGTGTCGAACCTTCACAAGAACACAAAAAAATCCTTCTCTGAAACGTAAGCGGCCTCAAATAACGTTGATGTTTATCTGTCGCTTCAGCTCCACCATGAAGCCCGTTAACCCGCTGAGACTGATGGCCCTTCTGCCGTTTCGATTTGTTTCTCAGAATCAAGGATATGTATTATCATGTGAACAAGGAGACGGGCCAGGACTCTCCTCTGGTCAGCGAAATGGCTTACAACATCATCATGGAGGTATGATGGGATACCTTTTTCGCCGCTGTTCGTTGATTGCGACTACACGAAGCAGCTGCACAAGGAGATGAGCTTTGTCATCTTGGGTTGATTTGATCATTCGTATCCTTAACAATTCTTCCTTCCATTTCTTTGAATGACTTGCAGAATGCGGATATCCTCGACAGCGAGATTATTTACGACCGTGACTTCGAGTACGACTACTTCGGCTTCAAGACTCTGGAGCGATCCTATCTTCTTCGTGTCAATGGCAGGTGAGCTTTTCTCTTCACATCACGTAGCGTGAAGCAGCACGCTCGAGGTTCCTTTCCTGATGCATTTCATTTTCCGGTCTTGCAGGGTCGTGGAGAGGCCGCAGCACATGCTGATGCGTGTGGCCGTGGGCATCCATGAGCGCGACATCGAAGCCGCCATTGACACGTACCACCTCATGTCGCAGCGCTGGTTCACGCACGCCTCGCCCACGCTCTTCAACGCCGCCACGCCGCGCCCGCAGCTCAGCAGCTGCTTCCTCGTCTGCATGAAGGACGACTCCATCGAGGGAATTTATGACACTCTTAAGGAGTGCGCCGTTATTAGCAAGTCTGCGGGTGGCGTCGGTCTTGCGATTCACTGCATCCGCGCCGCTAACAGCTACATCCGCGGCACTAACGGGACGTCCAATGGCATTGTGCCGATGCTGCGCGTGTTCAACAACACGGCGAGATACGTGGATCAGGGCGGCGGCAAGCGCAAGGGAGCGTTCGCCATATACCTGGAGCCGTGGCACGCCGACGTGTTCGAGTGGCTCGACCTGAGGAAAAACCACGGCAAGGTACTTACTCAATTTCATGTTCACCCGCAGTTTTACTTTATTGCATCGGCCATTTATTCGTGTGCTTGGATGTTTCTTCCCTGGGCCCCTAATTTGTGTGCTTGGTCTGCGGTTATGGGATGCAGGAGGAGAACCGTGCGCGCGACCTGTTCTACGGGCTGTGGGTGCCGGACCTGTTCATGCAGCGCGTGCAGGAGAACGGCCCCTGGTCGCTCTTCTGCCCCAACGAGGCCCCCGGGCTTGCTGACTGCTGGGGCGACAAGTTCGTGGAGCTCTACACCAAGTACGAGAGTGAGGTACGCGCCGGTACTTGGACCTCCTTCTGATGCAGAGTAGTGACGTATTTTTTTCGAGACGAAGCCGGTGCACTGTATCGTTGCAGGCCGTTTCCTCGGTTTCAGTGTCTTACGTCGTGGTCTGTTCTTGTGCCTTCATACATGCAGGGCCGAGCCCGCCGCGTGCTTCCCGCACAGAAGCTCTGGTTCGCGATCCTGGAGGCCCAGATCGAGACTGGCAACCCGTACATGCTCTTCAAGGTACCCAAACTTCCCCAGGCAGCTGCATTCCGTCATCTTCACATATCGCTATACAATACCCTCTGCGTTCTTGTTGAAGTTTACCTTCTTTATTTTCCGTGGGTTGCTAACCGCTTCTTCTCTCCGGACTGCGTGTCGGTGTGTCGGCGTGATGGTGAGCAGGATTCGTGCAACCGCAAGAGCAACCAGCAGCACCTGGGCACCATCAAGTGCAGCAACCTGTGCAGCGAGATCGTGGAGTACTGCGCGCCCGACGAGACGGCCGTCTGCAACCTCGCCTCCATCGCGCTGCCCCGCTACGTCCGCGAGCAGGTCAGCACGCGCGCGTGAGGCGCTGGAATCACCTCGGATCTGCCGTTCTTCAGGCCTTGGCGCAATTTCAGGGCCTTGCGCGTTAATCGAACCCAATCGTTCTGCTGTTCTAACCAACCGCTCTCAATTCCGTCGTTGGCTCCATGACTCGCAGGGCTTGGCGGCGGACGTGAAGCTGATCGGCAGCCGTAACCACGCGCAGCGGTACTTCGACTTTGAGAAGCTGGGGCAGGTGACGGAGGTGATCACGCGCAACCTCAACAAGGTGATCGACGTCAGCTACTACCCCACCGACTCGGCGCGCCTGTCGAACGAGCGCCACCGCCCCATCGGCATCGGCGTCCAGGGCCTGGCTGACGTGTTCATCCTGCTCGGCATGCCCTTCGACTCCGCCGAGGTCAGAAGAACCTCTCTTCCCCTCCCCTTGAATTTCAAAATGTTGGATCTGCTGTGGAATGACTAACTGTCTCGTTACGCGGAATTTCGTGAGCAAATACAGCAGTTGTTCACTCCGTGTCTCCTTCATATCCTCGCCTCGCTGTTACCCCTCGCCTCACCATGCATCTCCCCTGTTCCCGCCACATTCCGCCCCGTATCCTCCCAGGCGAACGCGCTGAACCGCGACATATTCGAGACGATTTACTTCCACGCGCTCAAGGCGTCGTGCGACCTGGCGGAGACGCACGGCAAGTACCCCACGTACGACGGCAGCCCCATGAGCAAGGGCCTGCTGCAGCCCGATATGTGGGACGGCGTCCAGCTCACGCAGGAGCGCCACGACTGGGCGGCGCTGCGCGCGCGGATTGCGCGCGTGGGGCTGCGCAACTCGCTGCTGCTTGCGCCCATGCCCACCGCGTCCACGAGCCAGATCCTTGGGAACAACGAGTGCTTCGAGCCGTACACATCGAATATCTACACCCGCCGCGTGCTCAGGTGCGTGGCGTTGCTCCACTCGCTGTGCTTTCGCTTGACTGTTCGCCTGCTTATTTGATTGCCGATCTTGGACAACTGGTGTCCCTTCCGCCTCTCCCAACGTGCATTGGATGCGCCCAACGAGGCCAATTCTTGCCTCACCTTGCCCTGTCCTGCTGTGTGCTGCCCTGCCCTGCTGCTCCCCCACTCGCGCTTCCCATGTGCAGCGGTGAGTTCGTGGTGGTGAACAAGCATCTGCTGAGCGACCTGACTGGCATGGGCCTGTGGACGCCCGCGCTCAAGAACGAGCTCATCTACCACAACGGCTCCGTTGAGGGCATCGCTGCCATTCCCAACCACCTCAAACCGATCTACAAGTGAGTATGGGGGAAAATTGGCTGAGTTCCTGGGGACTGGGTTTTGGATCTTTCCTGCCATTTCTGCTGTTCGGACTGCTCCTGAGCAAGCCTTTGTGGTGCTGTGATTGGCAGAACGGTTTGGGAGATCAAGCAGCGTGCAGTGGTGGACCTGGCTGCGACGAGGGGCGCGTTCATAGACCAGAGCCAGAGCCTCAACATTCACCTGGACACGCCCAACTTCGGCAAGCTCACCTCGCTGCACTTCTACGCCTGGTCCAAGGTGTGTGATGGCTGCTGCTGCTGCTTCTGTTGTTGTTGTTGCTGCTGCTGCTGCTTCTGTTGTTGTTGCTGCTGCTGCTGCTCTTGCGCATTTGTACTTGGAGCTTGTGCTGTTGCACTTTTATTTGATGTTCCTTCACCTGTTGTGTGTGTGCATGAGCAGGGTCTCAAGACGGGCATGTACTACCTGCGAACTCGCAGTGCTGCAGACGCCATCAAGTTCACTGTCGACGCCTCAGCAGTGCAGGTCAGCTGCTGCTGCTGCTGCTGCTGTTGCTGCTGCTGCTGCCGCACTGCTATTTCCTTTTCTCCTATATTTGTTGGGCTTACTCCTGCTCATCAATCTCATCTATATCATTTATTTCTGCAATTGTCTCTGGTCAGGGGAGCAAGGTGCAGGTGCAGGCAGCGGGGCGGGAGGAGAAAGGGAAGCTGGACGTGGTGGTATCGTCCAAGGCAGCATCAGTGAACCTCGCAGCCATGGTCTGCTCTCTTGAGAACCGCGACGAATGCCTTGCCTGCGGCAGCTGATCAATTCGTTACCCGCAAGCCACTAACTGTCTCAGTCATTGTTCCTTTGAGCCTCCTCCTGGCTGGCCTCAGCCGTCTCCCCTCACTAACACTCCTTGCTGCTTGAAACGATACCCCACCATCCGTACCTCCTGCTTCAGTCCAAGCTAACATCGTGACTCAGCATCCACCTTCCTACCACGTTCCTTGGTTTGAACTACTAAGCCTATTTCTCCATGAAGTGGCTATGGCTACAAGCCTGTGGCTGGCATCTGCTTTACCCTAACAGCTTTACCTGATTTCTTTTGGTTCTGTTCCCTTCTCCTTCTGGGTAGATTTGACTGCCCGTCTCCTGTTCTTCTCTACAAGGGGCGGATAGGGGATGTGGTTGGCTACTAGATGTCATATGTCAGCTTGGCAGTGGCACTCTGGCTGTAGCGCCGGCTGTAGCGTTAGCTGTTGCCGGATGCTGTAGCTGTATATAGATGTGGCATCACGTGCTGATGTCACATGGGGAGATATATCGGGTGCTTCCCCACTGCCTGTACCTTTTCTTATTTCTTATTATTTACCAATCTCTCGAGAAAAGGTACAGGCAGATCACATTACTATGCAGAAGCTCAATGACACAACTGCAAAGGAGCTTGAACAACCAGTTATCCCTGTTCAAGGAAGGGACCCATAGTGTGCTGGTGCTCCCAGCTAGTGCGCCTGCACTGCACCTCCCACCCCTGCATCAATTTCATCAATCTTTCAGCTACCTGGTAGAAAGCTTTGCCCTAAGGCATCAGAACGACCTTTCCAGTTACCAGTATGCGGACAAGTTTTGCTTTAAGCTTCCTTGATGTACGGTAGTAGGATACGCTTGACCAAGCTGCAGCAATGGCCATTGATGCTGTAGCAGCTTATTTATTCCATCAACACTACAGTGCAGCAGCCCCAGCTGCCATGGCATACCAGTGCAGCAGAGACACCGTCTGTGTTTGCCTTCTCCCCTGAAGGACCATCTACCCCTGGTATGCCCTGAACCGACCACATTCATTGCTCCAACAAACAACTACGGTAGAACAATGATGCTTTACTCAGAGCACTGCCAACATCCACGGGACAATGGCTGCTCAGTCCAGATGCCTTTTCCAGAACCAGCTGGCACTCCAAAGACTGACCAAAACACCTGCTCCTGTTTCTCTTCTTTGCTATCACTTGCCGGCAGAAGCGCCAGCGCCAATGCCGGCAGCGGCAGCGGTGAACGCGAGCGAGGATCGCTGGTCAAAGAAGCGCGTGAGGGGGCAGCTAGAGCCGACAGCAGCGACCCACATGTTGAGGTGCACCTCCCATGCGTACGCCTGTGTGGCATGCAGCTCCACCATGATTGAGTTGCGCCCCGACATGAGCCGCACGTTGCTCACTGCCACTATGGTTGTGGACCAGGGGGCCCTTGGACTCGCGTCTATCACGGCCTGTTGAGAGTAGAGTGCATGGACCGGGGAAGGTGGGTGATTGTCCGAAACGCATGGGCAGTGGGGGTGAGGAGGCGTAAATTGGGAATGCGGTGGTGGGGAGGAGGGTTGTAGGGGGGAAAGTGAGGAAAAGGGGAAGCTTGGGACTGCACCCACATAACAACTATTAATCAACCTATTGACCGACCACTCACGGGCGTGGAGATGGTAACAGGTGTGGAGGAGGAAGCAGCAGGCATGTTGGAGCGGAAGGCCTCGGCGCCGTTGACATACACCACGATGCCGTCACTTGCCTTGTACCCGAACAGCAGCGAGCGGTAGCACCCCGCGTACTTGAGCGAGAAGGACGCGCGGAAATACCATGCCAGCGCGCCCTGAGGTGGGGGGGAGGGGAAGGGAGGGTGATGGGAGCAGGAAGGAACCGACGTTTTGGTTTTTGAGAATTCTCAAAAACCAGCAGGTGGGTCATTGTGGGTGTGATGGGTATGCGGCATTGTGGTCGTCGAGCAGTGAGCGGTCGCACCCCGTGTGAGTACTTGAGAAGCTGAGCGAGAACGACGAGCAGAAACCCCACGCACGCAGCACAGAGATCCTACCAACCAATCAGAGAAAAGGTTCCATGAGAATGCAAAGTGCATATATCTAACACGGCCCACCGGAGTCTACCGGTTACAGGTCTACCGGAGTGAGCTAAGGCCCAAACAGTGAGCAAGCAAGAGAGAGAGTGGCACGGGCCTACCGGAGCCCCTACCGGGCCAGCGTGTGCGACGGTGGTGACCTCGCCCTGCCCGCCGTAGCCAAAGGGCGCGCGCCCCACCTTCCACCTGGCGGGCGGCGCATATGCGAGGAACTCAGGGGGGTACTTCATGGTATCGCTGTAACTCCAGTTGGCAGACGGCGGAATTATGCCGCATTGGCTGGTGGAGGGATGGGAGGCAGAGGGCGAGGGCGTGGAATGGGACGATGGATGGGTGAGAGATGGGTGCGCCCGTGGAAGGATGGAAGGATGGAAGCAGGGCAGCAGGGCAGCAACGCAGGAGAGCTTATGAGAATCTTCAAAAGAGAAGTTGCCCTGCGGACGAATAGGTTACATTACATCTAGCCACTCACATGTTCACGCAGGAGAAGTTGCCGGGAACCTGCGTGAGCACGACAGTGGCGGAGGAGTTGGCACCGAGGGACACCTGCAGCACGGGAGCAGCGTCCAGACACAGCCACTGCGCCTGGGCTATCGTGGCGAATGGTAATGTCACTCCGCTGCACGCCCTGGTGGAGGGGACAAGGTGGACAGGGGAAGAGCGAGGCAGGGAGTGGGGAGGAGAGAGGGTGGTTAGTTGGGGAGGGTGGGTGGTAGGGAGGAAAGACGAGAGGTGCAGACAAATTTCAAGTTGCGCTAGCCGCACTCTTCTCATGTCCGTTGCCCAGTCTCCCGTCCGGCAATCCCATGCCTCTACATCTTCCCTCCCCTCACCTCCCCTCCCATCCCTTCCACCCTCAGCCTACGGCACACGTACTGCCAGAAGATATCATCAGAGGGAGCCAGCTGCCACGTGTACCCCGCACGGGGCAGCGGGAACTGCAGCACCACGGGCAGCGTGCATCCAAACCCCCCGTCCGCATACGACACTGTATACGCCGCTGGTGCAGCTGCAGCAGCACCAGATCCGCTCCCTCCTCCAGGCGTCACCACATACGCTCTCCCCGCCAGAACGTTCACGAACTGCGCGCCGTTGCTCGGTATGCTCGCAACTCCCCCGCTGCTGCCGTTGCTGCTGCCTCCGGCTGGGATCAGTGTGAAGCTTGCGCTACCCCCTTGGATGGAGACAGTGCGGTAGCACGTGCCTGGACAAGCATAGCCGTTCCATTCAGGTTTCTGGGGGATTGGAGGAGCGGGAGAGGAGAGGAGGGTGGGTGGGGGAACGGGTGTGAGTGTGAGTGGGTTGGGAGAAGAGTGGGGAGTAAGATTCTGTTTTCTTGGGAAGCTGGACTAGCTGTCAAACCCAAATTACCTTGACGCCTGCACAGGCTCGCAGAGCACCTTTGAAAAACTCACAGCACCACCACTCACCGCAGTGCACACATCCCCTGCCGGCAGCAGCTGCCAGCACATCCCATCCCACACAGCCCCCACAAGCCCCAGGAGCAGTAGCGTGCTGCTATTTCCTTCTGAGACTCCCAAACCGGAATCCACTCCTCGCCAACCACCACTCACCGCAGTGCACACATCCCCTGCCGGCAGCAGCGCAGTATTATTTGCAACAGCAAATCCTCCACTCCTGCCAACCACCGACCCGTCCTCGTCGCGCCACACGTACGTGCCTGCCAGCGGACCCGCATCCCCGTACCCGCCATCAAAGCCCAGCTGGCCGCGGTTGCGCGGGACGAGGTAGAGCGCGGGGGAGGTGGCATCAGGGAAAGTGAGCCTGCTGCTTGTGTAGGTTGCCGGCCAGATGTATGCTGAATGCCCGTTGGCTGGTGAGTTGGCGAGGTGGGGGGGTTGAGGGGGTGGGTGTGTGGGTGTGCGTGCATGTGTGTCTGTGCGAGAACGATAAACGAAATAGCGAAGGGAACAAAAAGCAGAGGCAAAGTAACAACGAACCAGGGGACGCAAAACAGACGGCGCAGCAGGGGGGAACAGAAGGCGCAAGCACGCACGTGAGATGCCGGCAGCAGGTTGGCAGCGGGGGTAGTAGCCAGAGAAGGAGCAGTTGACAATACGGTGGGGCACACCCATGCTCCACCCGTGGGCCGGTGGGTCCGCCTGGTCGATCAGAATGCCGTACTTGGGTGCGTAGCGGCTCACTGTTCGACTGTTGGAGCGTGCCTGGGGCAGGAGGATGAGGCGGGAAGGAGAGGAGGGGCATGAGAAGCGAGTGCGGGGCTTTTGAGACAATCTCGAATGCCGTACTTGAGCGCATAGCGCCTCACTGCTCGATTGTTGGAGTGCGCTTGGGGAGGCGCGAGAGGGGGGATGGGGAGGGGTAGAGGTGAGGGGGGAGGAGGAGGGAGGAGAGGGGAGAGTGGAGGGATGAGGGGGGAGGAGGGAGGAGGAAGGAGAGGGGAGCGAGGAAGGGGTAAAAGAGAAGGGAATGGAGAGTAGGGAGAGGAGTTTGGGATCTTGTGCCTGGCCCAGCTTGCATTCACTCACATGCCCCCCACACACAAGTGCCCGTTCAGTCAGGTCCCCCATCTTGTGAGCAGCAGTGGCAGGTCGCAGATGCCAGCGAGGCCAGCGCCTTGGCTTGAAGCCTTTTGAGGCGTCTCAAAAGAGTTTTGAGGCGTCTCAAAAGAGTTTTGAGGCCTCTCAAAAGAGTTTTGAGGCCTCTCAAAAGAGTTTTGAGGCGTCTCAAAAGAGTTTTGAGGCGTCTCAAATGTCTCAATAGTCATCACATGCCACACACGTGCCCCATCTCAACCCAGCCCCCCCACCTTGGCGAGCGGCAGCGGCAGGTCACAGACGCCAGCAGAGGCGAGCGCCTTGCAGCCGCCAAAGGTGTTGCTGGGGTTGTCGCACATGGTGGGGTTGCCTATGTTGGCCGACTCGCCTATGAACACTGAGTCCGCTATCTGAAGGGAGACGGGTTGGTGGGGGGAGGGAGGGGGAATGATGGTGAGAATGAGGAGAGAAGGGAAGGGTGGAAAGGAAAGGGTTTGCTGGGGTTGTCGCACATGGTGGGGTTGCCTATGTTGGCCGAATCGCCTATGAACACCGAGTCCGCTATCTGAACAAGAGAGAACAAGAGGAGAAAGAGAGGCTGAGGGGTGGGGAAAGGGGATAACACGGAGTGGGAGATGAGTGCATGGGATGGTGCATGAAGGGTAAGCCACGTGAAGCTTGCAGCAATCTACACAGTGGAGAGGGTGAAGAGGTCTGGTGGAGAGGCCAAGTGGAGAGGCAAGGCCCGGACTCACCACAACGGCCTGGTCTCTGTTGAGCTCGACGCCCACCACTGCTCCCAGCTCTCACCGCGATGGCCTGGTCGCGATCCCCTCCCTTTCCCCCCCCCCTCCTCCTCCTCCTCCTCCTCCTCGTCGTCGTCCTCCTCCTCCTCCCACTGCACTCACCACAACGGCCTGGTCGCGATTGAGCTCGATGCCCACCACTGCATTGTCCGCCACCCGCGCTCCCCTGATGTGCAACCCATCCGAGTTGTGAATGAACATGCTGTGTGGGGGGGGGAGTGGGGGAAGAGGAGGGAAATGCGTTGGTGTGGGGTGGGTGGATGGGTGGAGTTTTGAGCTGGTGGTGACTCAACTCAGGGTGTGAAAGACTCAGCCTTGTGCAGCATTGTCACATGGAGGGTGGGAAAGCAAGAACAGGAATACAAGCAGGAGCAAGAGAGGAAGACGAGGGATACAAAAAGGGGTGACTTCCTTCGGGCTCGAGCACTCCCACATTCCCTTGCCACTCAACAGCCTCCTCCAATCATCGTATGAATCATATTGAGGCGATTACAAAACCTATCTCGTTTGTTCACTCACCCTATGAACTGGTTCTTGTACGCCCGGAAGCTCGTCATTGTGATGTTCACTTGCGGCTGTTGGGATAGGAGCGAAAGAACGCGAGTTCCAAAAAGATAATAAAGAAAGTGGCAACAGCTACAGCAGCAGATGGAGAGGTAGACGGACAAACAGGCACGCTTCAACAGAGACACAGAGAAACTCCAGGCAAGCACCACACAGCACCGCACGGCACCGCGCAGCACCAAGCGGAGAAGAGCCTCACCGCGTTGATCCCGGACTTTTCCTGCACGTTGGAGACCCCCCCGTTGAGGCGAGGGCGGTACCCTGAGGGGTACGTGCGCAGCCCCGCACGGCCGTTGGAGTGCGCTGCATTGCCCACGAACGGGCCCAAGGGGATCAGGAACGGCGTCACCCCTGCCGCGTTCGGGAAGAGCGCTGACGGCCCCTCCACCCGCCCCGGTAGTTGGAACCAGAAGCTGGATGGAATGGAAGGGGGAGGAAAAGGGCCGAGAAAGGAGATTCGAAGCACTGATGAAAACATTGCAGGGTAGCTGAAACGAGAAGCTGGTGTGTTGAGGAATGGAGGTGAGCATGGGAGGGGTTGAACGAGGGGGGCGTGGGAACAACAGCGAAGGGATAAAACAAATGTGGTCAATCTGCTACAAGTATGATTCAGAGACACCCGGCCAATTCACAGTGGAGTGGAGAGCAGCAGATGGCAGGCAGGCAGGCAGGCATACCCCGAGTCGAACGACCCCGCAGCGACATTCCCGATGAACGTGTTGTTGGGGTTGGTGATCCAAAACGTCGACGGCACGTCGTCGCTCTGTGTGGCTGGTATGGCGTCCGTGGGCTGCAGCAGACGCTTCACTGGCTCCTGATTGGGCGGGAGACAGGAGGAGGAGGGGACAGGGAAGAAAAGTGGGGAGTGGGTGGGAAAGAGGGTCGGAGGGGAGGTGAGAGGGAGCGAAAGGGGAACGGGAGAACGAGGTGGAGCGGTTGGGTATAAGGGACAAAGGGAGACAGAGCGGAGGTAGGCAGCAGTGCGATAAAGAGGTAGTGTGAGTGAGAGAGGGAGGGAGGGAGGGGCAAGCCAACGAAAAAAAATGTACATGAAAGCACACACCCGCACACACACACACACACACACACACACACACACACACACACACACACACACACACACACACACACACACACACACACACACACACACACACACGTCCACCCAGAGAGCACACATGAGCACAAACAGACCTGCAGGAAGCCAAGGTTGTTGACAAACGTGTTGCCAAACTCAATCGCATCCTCCAACAAGAAGCAGTGCCCCTTGGTATTAACCCCCAGGTTCCACTCCAGCCGCAGATTCCACGTGCCGTGCACCACGTAGCACCGCTGGTTACTATCATGCACGCTGCAGCTGCTGACCACGGAACCAGACACATCCTGGCAGAGATGGAAGTGCATGGGGTAGCGGCCGAGGCTGCCCTGCTGGCCCATGTTGACGAGCTCGACGCCTTTGATGAGTTGCCGCTCTGCCGTCTGCATCACCATGAAATGCCCGCCGATTAGCGGGTCCTCGGGGTTCTGGTGGCCCTGAATCACGATCGCGCGCGACAGCAGCGCCACCTCCGCCGCCTCGTCCACCGTCGCGCTTCCCCCCGCGGCGCCTGATGTTACTGCCTCTCCCCAGTGCATCCACGCCAGCGCGCCGCCCAGCCCCAGCACCGTCGTGTTGCCCGGACCTGTGGGTTTGGTGTGGGAATCGGGGGACGGGGCGACGCGAGGAGGAGTAAGCGAGGAAGAAGGGGGGTGTGAAGGAAGGGGGGTGGTTAGGGAAGGGGGTGGGGAGAAGGGGGGTGTGAAGGAACAAGGCATTGGTGGCATTGAGAAGGGCTGTGGTGGGAGGTGGGGAAAGTAAGTGAGGTGGAACGAGCGTGAGTGAGCCGCTCACTCGCTCTCCCGCTCACTCTCCCGCTCGCCCAACGCAACGGTTGCGATTGGCGCAATCACGATCACCCCTCCCATCCACCCACCGGCAGTCACGGACGTGATTGTGAAGTTCTCCGCCTGGTAACGGTCGAAATCCGTCGACGCGATCGCGATCACCCCGCCCACCGGCCACGCCGTCACGTCGCCCTTCACCCGAACGCTCGTCGCGCCCGCGGCGGCAGTCGCGGCGAGCGTGGTCCACGAGGGCGCGTTGCCGTACATGCCGTTGAGCTCGAGCCGCCCGCCGACGGTTGCGAACACGCGGACGCCCACGGACCGCGGCTGGGACGGCGCGGCGGGCGGCCGCGTGATGGTGAGCTCGTTGGCGGCGCCGGTAAGATTGACGGTTAGCCGGCCGCGGTACGACGCCGCGGCCGTGCCGACGGTGACGCGGCCCTGATTTAAAATGAACGCCGCCATTACCTGCAGCGGACCCAGCGCCTCCACCCTGCGCAGCGCGCGTGCACGCGGAAGCGTGGGGTGACGAGGGGACGCGGGGAATGGGGAGGGGGGATATCGGTTGAGCAGATCCAGGGATGCCCAGCGGACGGGAAGAGGAGATAGGGTTGGTTAGAAACCAGCGCTGATGAAAGAGAACGGCGTGTGTATAGGACTGTAATCAGTCCGCCTGTCCAGTTCCTTTTCATTAGTAGCGGCGTTAATGCCAAGAACCGCATCGAGGTGGAAAGCGGGTGGGTGGAGAGCTGGGGGTCGCAGCCGCGACAGAAAGCAAGCCCCCTTTCGCACGGCGGCTGCATACGACACGCACTTGAGCCGGCCGTTAATCTCGAGGAGGTAGAGCGTGACGTTGGAGTCTAACAGCACACCCACGCCGCACGGCACGGTGGCGTATGGGCGCATGGGTACATGGGCGCATAAGCGCATGGGTGCATCAAAGCACGCACTTGAGCCAGCCGTTAATCTCGAGGAGGTAGAGCGTGACGTTGGTATCCAGAAGCACGCCCACGCCGCACGGCACGGTGGCGTTCACGCCCATGTTCATGCCCACGCCCGGTACCTTCCCCGCCGGCCACGTCGCCGGGTCGCTCCACTTCTTCCACCCTGCGGGGATTTGCATGCGGGCGGATTCCCGGGGCGGCGCGGGTAAAAGGGTTGTCGGGGGGAAGCGGGAGGTTGATGGGTGGAGAATGCTGGTTCTTACGCACGCGGGAACATTAGGGGGATTCGGAGTGGGGAATGGGCTATACTGGGGGAGTCGGAACGGGAGGCGGATTGGAGTCTACGGGTTCGACTTAGTTGGGAGAGGGGAGCAGAGGGGATGCGCCAAAGAGTCTTGTCCGAAACTGGCGCGTCATAAATGGCGGAATGAAAGGCGGATTGAAAGGCGGAGTGGAAGGCGGATTGCAAGGAGGCTGCCGCGGTCTCACCACTGGGGGGAGGATCCAAGTAGCTGCTGCTGTTGCAGAAGGGCTTGTACACGTCGGTGACGGCAGCATCAGCGCGCAGGGGCTGCTGTAGTGACAGCAGGATTAGGCACGCGCAGAGCAGCGGCAGGTGCACCGAGGATGCAGGGCGGAGGTCGCCCCGCCGCCCACCCTTGGTGCTCCTCCGCGGCAGGAGTGCGGAGCAGCGTTGATGCGCCATGACGATCCTAAGCGGATGGTGCTGGACAATTGGTTGCGGGGCAGGAAATGAGGAATGCGCACAACTGGCGTCACGAGTTGTGAAGGAGGTATAGAATCAACTTCAAAAGCACCCGCTGACAGAAACTCGAGCTAACGCCGCAGCGCGGATCGGATTGAGAACGCCACTATTAAGGAAAAGCTCAAACGATAGCGGATTGCCATAAGAACGTGGCGCCTACTCCGGTTGGCCGCTTAACGTCTGCTGCCATCTACCGTTCGTACAGGCGCTCGCGCGAATTCATTTTAGGGCTAGCAGCTCAAATGGCGCCCACTATCTCAAAGTTCCTGAAGTAGTGAGGCGACGGCGGGGTGCCATTCCGTTGAGCGATGTGTGGATGGCAGGCAGGAGAACGCTGGTTTTGGAGGAATGACAAGTTTGGTTGGAGGGGTTGATGGGAGGGTGGGAGTACAGTACAAGCCAGGAGCAGCCCAACAGCGAATCAACTGCTCTGTCTCGGGCAGGGGTAGCACCTCAAAACTGAAAATCAGGCAAGCGGCAGAAGCGGGAAAGGTAGTTTCAGGGCTTTCTTCCAATGATGTCTGGCCCGCAAATGTTTTTCAACAATTTCTCGCTGACTGCCGCAATCTTTTCTTGTCCCTTATTGGTCAGGGGGGCGGCAGTATTCAGGACAGGTCTGCGGAAGCGACTCGGCTGCAACTATTCGAGTCGCGACTCGAATGCTTGAGGGGTTGTTGTTGAAAGGTTCTTGACGATTTTACCCTTCACGTCCCCAATCCGTCAGAAAATGAAGGGGAACCAGCACTTTCTGGGCATGTTTCCAGCTGCAACCGCCACAATTCTGGATGTGCAAACGTATTGGCGGGAGAAATAGCTGCCCGTCAGGATCTGCCTGAAATTCAAAGGAATGTCAGCTCAAAGCGCCGTCAGCATGGCTGAAGCTAATTGGTGGATATAGATGACCACCGACCGAGTGGCGGGAGACATCTTGATGCGATACAACGCAAGACACGGGTTTGGACACAGAAAGACAATACAAGTTTGTCCACTTACAACATGAAGAATGAAACACACAACCTATTGCTGATTTATAGCTAGCTCAAAACTAAGAATACAAGTGAACCTAAAAATAAGAGCAGCCTACATAATGTTCCACTAAATGCATTGTTAACCGATGGCTCTGATGCCCGCACCCGGTGCTGCTCCTGTCACCCTATCCATATCATTGGCGCTAGCAAAGCCCATACCCCAGCCCATCCCATAACCATCATGGGCCTGGTTCCCGTTCCCTACCACTTCAAAACCGTTCCCCTCCACATCAAATGACGTCTCCCCGTGGTCTCCTCCCAGTCCGAGCCAGTTCCCAATGCTCCTTCCTCTCCTAAGCCTTCTTTCTTTCTTCCCCCCTTCCACATTCTCCGTCTCCCCGTGCCACTCTTTGCTCTCATACTGCTCCTGTCGTACCTCATCACCCTGCACGTTCTCCTTCTCTTTCTCCTCTCTTTCGAACCGTCCAGATTTGCTCCGCACCAGGCGCATGATCCCGTCGAACAGCCCTTGCCCCCAGCTCTTGCTCCGCCCAACGCTCTTCAGAGTCGGGGGATGCTCTTCCACCATCTCTTCCGCCTCAGCATTCTCCTCATCCCATCCTTCCCCCGCTTCTTCCGCCACAGGCGGAGGCACGCCCATGTAACCCAGCGGCGGTGAGAGCCCCGCGAAAGGAGCAGGATGCGCAAGGGGCGCGCCATAAGGCCCAACAGCGGGCATGTAGGCGCCAGTACCGGGGCCGGCGTGCAGAGGAGGCGGGACAAGGACACCCGGCCCGGCAATCATTCCAGCATGTGCACCGACGAGTCCCGCGTGGGCGCCGTGGAATGGGCCGGCCGTTTCAGGCTCGGTAATGATGTGTTGACTTATGGCGATTGATAGCTTGACGTAACCGTTTCTGACACCTGATTGGTCGACGAGCGGAATGCGGTGCTTTTCCGCTTGCGCCACGGATAGGCGGACGACTGCAGCGCCGCAGTAGAAAGAGAGGTCGCTGTCGCTAAATACTTGAATCACAATCTGCTTGGAACACACAGCAGATGGCAGTAAAAACGCTAAAAGTATTAGTGATAAAAAGCGAAACGACGTGTGAGAGGAATGTCCCAACAACGAAACACACAGGTGCAGCTGAGAGAGCGCTTACCGCAGCGGCAGTGCGAACACAGTCGGCGCGAATCTGAAAGATGAATGTTTCGTCCCACTTGGGGTCATCGCACGGATCATCCATGCGCCTGCTCTGGTAGGTCGTCGGATCAAACCCCGGCAGTGACACCACAGCTACGGGATGGATAGCTATGTGCGGCGCTGGTCTCTTGACTCCTCGTGCCGAGTAAAGGCGAAACCGTATCTCACGAAAAGCCATAGCTGTTTGGCGACTTGATACAGCAGAAATTTCCCTTCTGGCTAATGGCCTGCGTTGGTGAAAGCAATGCAATTGGGGAAGTGTGATGGCAGCTATGTGTTTGAGGCTTTGAAGCAGCTTAGCAAAATTAGACGGGACGATCGTCAACGGACTTTCGGGTGAAACAATATGGGACACGATGAAGCAGGACCTTGATGCTAAACGGGTCAAGGACCTCACCAAGTTTGTAAGTCGAAAACACACAGCTCACGGGATGCGGTTTGGTCTGGTCGGACTGAAAAAAGCTCTCCATTTATTACACCCTGGGGAACGGCGGTTGCGGATGAGCCGAGAAGTAATCAGGCTGCATCTTTTGGGTGAGAGGTTTGCCAACACGAACCACATGTCCACAAATGGGCATTTCCCCTCTCTATGTGTCCCTTACTTTAAGTGTTTCAAATTCGCGTCATAGGGAACACACACAACGGGTACTCCAGCATGCGCGTAAGAAGCATCCAAGCGTTGTTATTTGCAAACTCTGCATAATAGGGTGACTTCAGAAACGTACACTTCCTTTCAGAATGATGTATTTTCGTGAAGGCGGCTCGATGAATCCGCGAAACATAAAATTGTCGTCAAGGGTGATCTTGTGGGGCGTTCGCGATTCGTGCTGGTCTTGCAATCCTGTATTGTCACAACAACACTGCAAATGAACAATCTCACCACTTAGTGCTGGATCCGATACTACACTCATCACTTCTACAAGTTATGACAATCGAAACTAATTGTCGAGAGAAACTCAACATTCATAACCAGCACACCACAGGAAAATTGACACGTCGAGTTTCCACGCAGCAAGTCCGTTGAGGTCAACAGAGTAAAACCGGCACGCCCTCGCCTTTGGCATTTCCCACATGCTTTTCTTTCGTCCGCAATCTCATCCTTCCAGCTCATCACAGGAAACGTAACTGGGGGCTCAAGTTGTTCGAAACAAGATGCTCGTCAAAGCACACAGTTTTGGAGCCTTGGCGAGAACCTGTCGCTAATGCATCTCATCACCCACCATTTCAGCAATCCAGAGTCGCGACAGCGAACAGGATAAGGTAGTAATGGGAAGGCATATGGACGCGGAGCGACGAGCCGTCACAGTTTGGACACTGCGATTCTTGCGATGGTTGGTGGGACGGAGAGGAAAGCGAGGTAGCGGGAGTGACGACGCATGGCGGGGAAAGTGTCCCTCGTCGCCCCTCAACATGCACGCTCTGTACGTGCGACGACGAGGGCCGCGGCCTCTCGCACGCGCATCGGCAGGAGGAACGGCAGGGAGAACGGAAGCAGGAACCGAACGAGGAACGAGACGACGAGGAACGGAAAGAGAAAGGGAAGCAAGGGTAGGAGAAAGGGCAGGGGCAAGGGATAAAGCAAGAACAGTCGAAAGGGAAGGAACAAGGACAAGGGCAAACGGAGCAAGGACAGGGGCACGAGTAGGAGTGAGATTTCTCCAGACGCCCAGAGAAGGAACATTTTTCCAACCCGCAGTGGCGTTTCCTCCACAGGATGAAGCGTCAAGAGCAGCAGGTGCAGGAAGAGCAGCTGGAAGAGACACAAAGGCGCATCATAGACCTGTGCCAGGAACAGGAGCAAAGGAACCACGTGCTGCAAAATTCATCCAACCGGAAGCTGAAAGAATCATTTGGAAGGCAGCAACCCGGCCAGTATCATCTGCATCAGCATCAGGAGAAGTAGCTGCAGCAGCACCAGCAGCAGCACCAGCAGCAGCATCGACAGCAACGGCGTCGGTTGTAGTTGTTTCGGCAGGGGCAGGGACGGGGAAAGCAGCTGCTGCAGTAGGAGTTGGCGCAGTAGATGTGGGAGACGGCGAGTCTGACTTTCGACCAGCACCAGCCTCAAGAGTTTCAGGCAAAGCACTGGTGGGAGTGGGGGGTGGGGGGCAGGCGCAGGTGTGTACGCAGTACTCACTGGCGGAGGTGGTGCATGCGACGAGTGAGTGGGCGGAGAGTAGGCGCATTGGGGGAGGCAGCTTCGGGGATGTGTACAAGGGCGAGTGCCTCCATAATCCCCAGCTTATCTGGGCTGTCAAGCGCGCCAAGGTCCTCACCAACGACTTCAAACGCGAGGTGCTACGGGATATAATGTAACAGCAGCATGCAATGACGATGTCTCAGGTCAACGGCACGATGTGGTGCCAAGGTCCTTACCATGCCTGCTTCGTTTCAATATGCTGCTTTGCCATGCCTCGCATGCTGCTGCTGTTACATTAACGCTACGTCTCTCATTGCTGCAACATGGCAGGTGAAGGAGATGGCGACGAAGAACCATCCGAACCTGGTGCGGCTGGTGGGGTACTGTCTAGACTTCAGCCCTGTGACGGAGAGGATGGAGCAGATCGTCATCTACGAGTTCATGCCCCATGGCGACCTCGAGCAGTGGATCGGCCCTTGTAAGAAGACATTTCCACCTCTTCTCTTCCCCATCCCCCCCCAGCTTTGCTGCTTTGCCATCATACCATTACCTCCTGTTTGCAAGCTTTCACCACCCTTTTAACCTCTGACGTTTCATGCCTCGTTCAGCCCCAAAGCAGCACCTCACGGTCCGGCAGCGGCTGGAGATTCTCATAGGCGTGGCTCGTGGCCTGGAGTATCTTCATGGGTTTGGCATTGTGCATCGCGACATCAAGCCCGCCAACATCCTCCTCGATGAAAAACTGAAGGTACATCAGAAACTTATGATGTCAAGCGAACGGTTACGAAACCAATGTGGACTGATTATGTTTGGTGTGTTGGCTGTGGGATATGCCGTTGTTTGTGATTGTTTTGCACTTCACAACAGGCAAAGATCGCTGACTTTGGGTTGGTGAGACGTGGGGAGGGCACATCAGTGGCGACCACTCGGGTGATGGGAACACCGGGGTATGTGGACCCGGCCTATTACAAGTCACAAAAAGCCACTCCCATGGCTGATGTGTACAGGTGTGTAAATGCTCTGAGATCATTATGGCATGTGTGTCAACTGTAATTTTCAACATTTTTGCTCCTTAAGGCAGGTTTCCTTAAATTAGTGAGGATTCAGTGTTGACTGTTTGCAAAGTGAGAGATAGAGCCTAGAGGATGTATCTACTGTGTAAGTTCTGCACACACCCTCAACTTTCTTTGATCTTCCCCGCCTTATTGCATCATACCAGCTTTGGTGTGGTGATGTTAACCGTGCTCACGGCACGCAAGGCCATTATGCACTTGGAAGAAGACCACTTCAACCTCAAGACATGGGCTGCTCCGCTGGTGGCATCCAATAACATGTCATCATTTAAAGACCCTCATCTGGAAGCACCAGATAGCTTGGTATGCCAGTTGGCTCGCCTTGCTCTCAGCTGCACTGCAATACCAACTGCGTCCCGTCCCTCCATGGGTAGAGTGCTTGCCTGCCTATTGAATATCAGTAACGATTTCTTTGGACCTGAGGTGAATAGGATGGCAGCACGAATTGACGAAGAGCTTGCGAGTTCTAAGGGTGCTGATTTTAATGATGCGATTGCGCGCATCGACAAAATGAACTTGAATTCTAGCAATTAATGTCCACATTTGATTCATCCCGTAATGAGCTGTTTAGACGAGCGATTTTGATGTTTAAAGCTGTTTATTCATATTATCAAACAATGTCATCGACAGGTTGTCATAATCTTCACACTCTGTCCTCTTTATAACTTCTCAACCTTCGCGCTGGTTCTGCGCTTTCAGCCACTGCTGTCCAGCATTTCGCTTCCCTCCTGGTAACCCTATCAATTGTGTTGAACGGCAAATTCGGAACGGCTGCACCGAAATCTCAGATGCGAGACGCAGGCCGAACCTCATGATTCTGCTCGACGTGGCAGTGAGCGGGATTCCAGCCCAGCACATCGACCTGACACGTCGCGACTCACATGCGGCATTGCCGAACCAGCCAGACTCGCTCGTGAAAAGCGCGCGAGCATTGAGATCTGGCGTTGGGTAGCGTTTTCGAAGGCTCGGTAAAAGCAGGGGTGTCGGGCCTCGGAAGTTCGGGGAGATCGACGGGGTACACCGTACCGCAGGGGTTTGCGCAAGTGCGCGAAGCGGAAGATATTCCCCCCCTAGGTTTTTCCGACTCCTCCGCCCTCATTCATAACCGTCTCCTACAATCTCTCCTCGACTCGTGTTTGCTCCTTATTCGTTCCTTGTTCTCTCCCCGACATCTCTGCAGCAGACGTTTGGTAAGGTGACTCCTGCTTCGTACCCGTCTGTAGTGCCGAGCAAGCACGTTTTCGTATACCGTAAAACCCTCTCCCTCGGGCCGCTAACAACTAGCTGTCCAGCAGATCTACCTCCGCAACTTGCCACTCACTTCAACGCTTTCCTTGATACGATCTTGAGATCCACGTTAGAATCTCAGGAGGGATGGACGGCGGGATGCCAGCTCCTAGTGGCGGCGGGATGGGTGGCGGCGAGATGGAGCTCATGTCGAGATCTCTCCAGATCGAGCAGAAACTCTTTTATCTCGATCTTAAAGATAACCCTCGCGGCCGGTTTCTTAAGATCAGCGAGAAGACCGCAATGAATCGGTCAACGATCATCGTGCCGCTCGCGGGAGTCGTGTGGTTCGTGGATCTGTTTAACTATTACGCGAATGGCGCCAACGACGCGGAGCTCAGCAGCAAAGAACTGCAGCTCGACACCAAGGTGCGCTTAGTTGGCTCTTAGCTCGCTAAGGCGCTGCCACGCCTTTTTTTTACCCTCCGTTTTTCAATAAAGCAATCATCTTTTTGTCGTTTTCTTCAGCTCCCTTGCTTTATCGTCATTCTGTAGATCCGTTTTTGGAAACCCTTGTTCTTGTTCCAGCTAGCCCGACGCAAGTCGGGCTGGCTCTGTACTGTGTTCTGTGTCACTTAAGTTTCCTGTGTTTTTCCGTTTCACCCCATCTCCCTGTTTAGGCAACTTAATCTCCTCTGTTTCATCATCGTACCCCGTTTCCTTCGTTCTTCTGCAGGTTTTCTATTTCGATGTTGGCGAGAACGCCCGGGGCCGCTTTCTGAAGGTATGTTAAATACTCTAGGCACATTTTCTAGTGGACGCGAGGACGAATGAATAGTTTGTTGAGACAGGTTCCTTGTCTCCTGTATGCGCTCGTGCGTCATTAAGGGCGGCGCAGCCGAATGAATAAAATGAAGGAAACGGATGAACGGTCTGATCGCAGCTGGTAGCGAGGCTCGTGTCGCTAGTCCTACTCTTCGTCTACAAGATTCGTGAGCGGGTTTCGCACATAGCATCGAACCCACTTATCACTCACAAACTCTCCTTCACCCTCTGTCCTCCGCGTACTGTTGTCCTCCTGTCGTCCTCAACGCGCGGCAGGTGTCGGAGGCCAGCATGGCGCGCGCGCGCTCCACTATCATCGTACCAGCGGGAGGCCCCGCGGCGGAGGGATGGGCGGCGTTCCGCAACGTGCTGGTGGAGATCCACGAGGCGTCCATCGCGCTCCCCACGAACAATGCGTCCGGCGCCGTTCCCGCCACGCAGGTGAGCGGTCGGGTGGTGAAGCGGCAGTTCGTGATAGAGCAGGATTTGTTAGCTTTAGTCTAATGCAGTGGGGGTTTAGGACGAGATTTTGCAAGCGGAGTTTGCGAGTGTTTCTGTTCTGTTACCCGATTGAGCTTTTCATTTGTCGGGGCGTTGAGTCAATCGATAAAGGTTATCGTTATGATGTACATTGCACATTACAATGAACCATGCACGATCCGACTTACCCGGTTATCCTTTGTTTGATGCCCTCCTCCCTTGCCTCCTTACCCTCCCCCAATTCCCGTCTCGTTCGATCCGCCGGCAGGTTGACGGTTCGTTCCATCACACGCCGGTTGCTGCCGCACCCGCGGCGGCACCAGCCGCCGGCGGCGCGGCGGAGGGAGGCGCAGGAGCGCCATCGGCGGGCACCGCGGGCGGCCCGTCGACGGGCGGCGGTAGCGGGCCGGGCAGCAACGTGTTGGCGTCGCGCGTGATCCGCGCGGAGCAGAAGCGGTTCTTCCTCGACCTGGGTTCGAACGTTCGCGGGCAGTTTCTCAAGGTTTCCGAGGTGAGCTAGCATTTGCTGGATGTCTGTGGGTCTGTGTGTGCCATTGTGAGCGCTTGTGGGAATGCTTGGATGGAATGGAGGAGGCGGCGAGTGGGAGAGGGAGGATAGTCGGAGGGGCAAGCAGGAGGGCACGGGGGCAAGGGCGCACGAGAGTGCAGAAGGAAATGTGAGGTAGGATGTGTGATTCCGCTCTTTCCTCCTTCCAGTGTTTTCCCGGTTATGTACTTGATGCGTCTGTGCCACAACCCCCCAGCGACGTAGTAAAGACGCCTGCGGAACTCTTTATCAGACACGTACTCCCTGTCAAACCCAAGACCAGTCATTGATCACACTCCCATCAAAGTTGTCAAGTACTTATAATATCCCCTACCCCCCTCGTCCCTCTGGTTTACTGCTGCAGGTGCAAGGCACGGACCGGTCGGTGATTATAATCCCGGCGCAGGCGTTGGAGCAGATTCACGAGGCGCTGGGGCAGTTTGTGCAGGTGCTCAAGGCACAGCCGCCGCCCTCGCCGCTGGTGCGCACACTCGCCCCTCAGCCCAAGCGCACCGGCGACTCCTAGCCTGCTCGCCTGCGTTTGAGGCTCCTCAAAACTCAGAGCCTGCGTGCCTGCTTGCCAAAGTGCTTCACACGGGCATCCAATGGTGACACAGTGAGTGTGCGTGTTCTGCTGGCACAGGTTGAAGCAGCAGGAAGTAGCAGCTTGTTAGTTGCTGCGTGAAATTGCGCTGGTGATGTTGGTAGGCGGTTATTAGAATGATGCTAGTATTGATAGTAGGAGGGATGAGAGGTGTGTGCTTAACTGTCGCAGCTCTCCTGTTTTATTTTCATAAATCCTCTATACGTCTTCCTGGTGCAGTGTTGGTATGATAGACATTCAATATAGAGTTACGATACATGGCGGTGGCAATGTCCTTGTGAATTTCTGTGCAAAACATGCACGCTGCGCACTGTATGTTTCACATGCACCATTAAGTGTGTTTTAGCTAAGATTCGAACCATTCCAAACCACATCTCAGTTGTAAGCTTCTCCTTCTACCTAAACATAGGCAACAGAATCAATTGAAACACTTTATTCCTCACTCTCCACCCATCCAGTTCTCCACGCCTTAATGATGGCCACAAGGCCAATAGCGGACTCTAGACCTTCTGAGGGCGTGTTCCTATGACCTCATATCAGGAAACCTCGGATCAAGAATGTACCTTTTGCCTGGTAAAATTAGCGAGAGGTTTTGGGTTTCGGGGAATTTCCAGTGTGAGCCTGATACTAGGTTGTCTTGATACGAGGACAGGAACACGCTCTGAGCCCTCTGATTAGACTGACAGATTTGCCTCAGCCACTTTCAGATGCTTAACTGCCAACCAGCCACTCTTCCTTTTTATGAGGCTCCGTGCACCCATCAGCACCCATGATAAGCACCCATGAGCACCCATGAGCACCCCATGTAGATGTGCTCATTGCCCACACGGTCCACACCCATGGCATGTGCATGTGAGGCACGTCAGAGGTTACTGTTGAGCAGGCTCAGATGCCACGGCATGTGCACGCGGCGCAGCACCCACCACGAGGGGAACGAGCGAATCCCCACTCGCACCCGCACCTGCTGCCATTGGCCTCGCGCTTGCGCTTGCACCCTGCCCGCCCTCCCCCTTCGTGCCCTGCCCCACACTCTCCGTCTCACGTGCTCTCGCTGCTGCTGCTGCTGCTGCTGCTGCTGCTGCTGCTGCTGCTGCTGCTGCGTCCCTGCTTGCTGTTGAGAGGTTTCCCTCGTGGCTTCTCTTGTGCTTGCCTTAGCTGCCTCATCTCCGCTCCTCGCCTCCTTCCGACCAGCACCAGCCACAGCGGCAGCAGGAGCACCAGAAGCACTAGCACCAGCACCAGAAGCGGGAGCAGGAGAAGGAGCAGGAGAAGAAGTGAGAGCAGCAGCGTTAGGCATGAGGGGAATCAGCAGAGGAGAGGCGGCAGCGGAGTGAGCGGCAAGGCACTTCCAAAAAGGGCGAAGGGCAGCAGATGCTAGGAGAATGGCAGCCATGGCTGGAGGTGACGGGGTGAAGGGTGCACTGATGGGCGGAGGGGGTTGGTTCAGAAGGACCTGAAGGGAGTGCAGTAGGAGTGGGGGAAAGAGGACGGGATAGGATAGGAGGGGGAGGAAGGGAAGTGAAAGGTAGGTCGGGAGTTCTGTGGGATTAGAGAGACGGGGTAGAGGCCTGGGGCAGGCAGATGTTGCATGCAGGGATGCATGGTAGGAGAGACGAAGAGGGATGAGGAGGGACACAGAGGGACGCGGAGGGACAAGGGAAGCAAAGTGCTTATTCATTCTTTTCTTCAAGAAACATGGGATGAAAGTGCATGAGATGAGCTCACTCGAATCACAGCAGCGGTTGAGGAGGCAATGGAGAGGAGGTTGTACCTGGTGCACACAATACATAGACATGCAACAACAGATCAACATGGCAACACCAAACAGACATGGTGTGACAGAGGATGGAGCTGCATTGTACAGCATGGCATGGCATGGCATTGCGTGAATAATATTGCACCACAAATACGCGGCAAGAGGAGCAAGGGGCACGGGGAAAGCAGAGCAAGGGGCAACGGGCAAGGGGCAAGGGGAGGGCAATGGATAGGTGGCAACGCACCCTCCTTCAAGAATGAGCAGCATTCGATTGGCGGTTAGGGGCAGCAGCAGGGATGTCATGTGGGCGAATCCCGCTGGTGACACCTGGGGATGGCATGGGACGGGATGTAGTGTGGTGTGGCATAGTAGCATTTAAAGAAGTGAGAGGAGCGAGGTGGAAAGCGAGAGAGCGAGTGATCAGGGGAGAAAGGGAGAGTGAGTGATGAGGGGAGGAAGGGAGAGTGAGTGATGAGGGGAGGAAGGGAGAGTGAGTGATGAGGGGAGGAAGGGAGAGTGAGTGATGAGGGGAGGAAGGGAGAGTGAGTGATGAGGGGAGGAAGGGAGAGTGAGTGATGAGGGGAGGAAGGGAGAGTGAGTGATGAGGGGAGAAAGGGAGAGTGAGTGATGAGGGGAGGAAGGGAGAGTGAGTGATGAGGGGAGAAAGGGAGTGAATGATGAGGGGAGGAAGGGCAAGGGAAGAGAATGGGGGGGGAGAGTGAGGAGGGAGTTAAGAGGGGGTTGGGGTGGGGGATGGGGATGACAAGGTGGGGTGAGGGGGAAGAGATAGGAGGAGAGAAGGGTAAAGAGAGGGGCAGCACCTTGCATCCGCCAAGAGGGTCGCCGTCAGCAGCATCAAAGCCAGCTGATATGATTGTGAGATCCGGTTGAAACTCATAGGCTGCACGATGACAGCCACACCAGCATGGCATGGCCCCGTGCCATGCCATGCAATGCCATGCCATGCCATGCCATGCCATGCCATGCCATCACACGCAGCAACAGGGGCAAGCTTGGTTATTATCAAGCAGAGAGAGAGAGCTCTCGAAGTACTCGCACAAAGTGTTGAAATCGCTTTTGAGAATTCTCAAGCGTGCGAGAATTCCGCAATGTTGAAATCGTTTCGAAAGGATTTCCAACATTGCAGAGAGAGCTCTCAAAGTACTGGCACAAAGTGGTCGTTACAACTAGTGCAAGCTACTAGAAGTGGGACCATTACTCTGGCACTAGCAGCCGTTGATTGCAATCAACAGAAAGCTGGAAGATCTTTCAGTCTGTCAAAAGCGCCTATTTACACACCCAGCACACCCAAGGGCTGAGCTCACACACCGAGCGGCAGGATGAGGTGGAAGAAGGCAGCGAGGTAGTCCGCATCTGTCATGGCTCCACATGGCCATGCCACGTTGGCCGACCGCCCCTCCCCTGGCCCTGAGCCCACCTGCCGGAGGGAGATGGTGAGGGCGGAGGGCGGGGGGCGGAGGGCAGAGGGCGGAGGGCGGAGGACGAGGGAGAGGGAGAGATGGAAGTGAAGGTGTGCTTTCAAATCATGGGGGGTTTAGGCAGAAGACAGGGATATCGGGAAACCGGGATACCGGGAAACCGGGATACCGGGATACCGGGAAACCGGGAAACCCGGATACCGGAATACCGGGAATCCGGGAAACCGGGATACTGGGAAACCGTGATTCCGGGATACCGGGATACCGGGATACCGAGGTGCCGGGATACCGGGCTACCGGGAAACCGGGAAACCGAGATACCGGGATACCGGGATACCGGGAAACCGGGAAACCGGGAAACCGGGAAACCGGGATACCGGGATACCGGGAACCGAGATACCGGGATACCGGGATACCGGGATACCGGGATACCGGGATACCGGGATACGGGGATACCGGGATACGGGGATACCGGGATACCGGGAAACCGGGAAACCGGGAAACCGGGATACCGGGATACCGGGATACCGGGAGACCGGGATACCGGGAGACCGGGATACCGGGAAACCGGGATAGCGGGATACCGGGATAGCGGGATACCGGGAAACCGGGAAACCGGGATACCGGGATACCAGGAAACCGGGAAACCCGGGAAACCCGGGAAACCGGGATACCGGGAAACCGGGATGCCGGGATACCGGGAAACCGGATAGCGGGAAACCGGGATACCGGGATACCGGGATACCGAGAAACCGGGAAACCGGGAAACCGGGAAACCGGGATACCGGGATACTGGGATACCGGGATACTGGGAAACCGGGATACTGGGATACCGTGATTCCGGGATACCAGGATACCGGGATACCGAGATACCGGGATACCGGGAAACCCGGGATACCGGAAAACCGGGAAACCAGGAAACCGGGATACCGGGATACCGTGAAACCGGGATACCGGGATACCGGGATACCGGGATACCGGGAAACTGGGAAACCGGGATACTGGGATACCAGGAAACCGGGAAACCCGAGAAACCCGGGAAACCGGGATACCGGGACGCCGGGATACCGGGAAACCGGACAGCGGGAAACCGGGATACCGGGATACCGAGAAACTGGGAAACCGGGAAACTGGGAAACCGGGATACCGGGATACCGGGATACCGGGATACCGGGATACCGGGAAACCGGGATACCGGGATACCGTGATTCCGGGATACCAGGATACCGGGATACCGGGATACCGGGATACCGGGAAACCCGGGATACCGGGATACCGGGAAACCGGGATACCGGGATACCGGGATACCGGGAAACCGGGATACCGGGAAACCGGGAAACCGGGAAACCGGGACACCGGGAAACTGGGAAACCGGGATACTGGGATACCGGGAAACCGGGAAACCCGAGAAACCCGGGAAACCGGGATACCGGGATGCCGGGATACCGGGAAACTGGATAGCGGGAAACCGGGATACCGGGATACCGGGATACCGAGAAACCGGGAAACCGGGAAACTGGGAAACCGGGATACCGGGATACCGGGAAACCGGGATACCGGGACACCGGGATACCGGGAAACCGGGATACCGGGAAACCAGGAAACCGGGATACCGGGATACCGGGATACCGGGATACCGAGAAACCGGGAAACCGGGAAACTGGGAAACCGGGATACCGGGATACCGGGATACCGGGATACCGGGATACCTGGAAACCGGGATACCGGGATACCGCGATTCCGGGATACCAGGATACCGGGTACCGGGAAACCCGGGATACCGGGATACCGGGAAACCGGGATACCGGGATACCGGGATACCGGGAAACCGGGATACCGGGAAACCAGGAAACCGGGATACTGGGATACCGGGATACCAGGATACCAGGAAACCGGGAAACCGGGAAACCGGGAAACCGGGATACCGGGATACCGGGATACCGGGATACCGGGAAACTGGGAAACCGGGATACTGGGATACCGGGAAACCGGGAAACCCGAGAAACCCGGGAAACCGGGATTCCGGGACGCCGGGATACCGGGAAACCGGACAGCGGGAAACCGGGATACCGGGATACCGAGAAACTGGGAAACCGGGAAACTGGGAAACCGGGATACCGGGATACCGGGATACCGGGATACCGGGATACCGGGAAACCGGGATACCGGGATACCGTGATTCCGGGATACCAGGATACCGGGATACTGGGATACCGGGATACCGGGAAACCCGGGATACCGGGATACCGGGAAACCGGGATACCGGGATACCGGGATACCGGGAAACCGGGATACCGGGAAACCGGGAAACCGGGAAACCGGGACACCGGGAAACTGGGAAACCGGGATACTGGGATACCGGGAAACCGGGAAACCCGAGAAACCCGGGAAACCGGGATACCGGGATGCCGGGATACCGGGAAACTGGATAGCGGGAAACCGGGATACCGGGATACCGGGATACCGAGAAACCGGGAAACCGGGAAACTGGGAAACCGGGATACCGGGATACCGGGAAACCGGGATACCGGGATACCGGGATACCGGGAAACCGGGATACCGGGAAACCAGGAAACCGGGATACCGGGATACCGGGATACCGGGATACCGAGAAACCGGGAAACCGGGAAACCGGGAAACCGGGATACCGGGATACCGGGATACCGGGATACCGGGATACCTGGAAACCGGGATACCGGGATACCGCGATTCCGGGATACCAGGATACCGGGTACCGGGAAACCCGGGATACCGGGATACCGGGAAACCGGGCTACCGGGATACCGGGATACCGGGAAACCGGGATACCGGGAAACCAGGAAACCGGGATACCGGGATACCGGGATACCAGGATACCAGGAAACCGGGAAACCGGGAAACCGGGAAACCGGGATACCGGGATACCGGGATACCGGGATACCGGGAAACTGGGAAACCGGGATACTGGGATACCGGGAAACCGAGAAACCCGAGAAACCCGGGAAACCGGGATTCCGGGACGCCGGGATACCGGGAAACCGGACAGCGGGAAACCGGGATACCGGGATACCGAGAAACTGGGAAACCGGGAAACTGGGAAACCGGGATACCGGGATACCGGGATACCGGGATACCGGGATACCGGGAAACCGGGATACCGGGATACCGTGATTCCGGGATACCAGGATACAGGGATACCGGGATACCGGGATACCGGGAAACCCGGGATACCGGGATACCGGGAAACCGGGATACCGGGATACCGGGATACCTGGAAACCGGGATACCGGGAAACCGGGAAACCGGGAAACCGGGACACCGGGAAACTGGGAAACCGGGATACTGGGATACCGGGAAACCGGGAAACCCGAGAAACCCGGGAAACCGGGATACCGGGATGCCGGGATACCGGGAAACTGGATAGCGGGAAACCGGGATACCGGGATACCGGGATACCGAGAAACCGGGAAACCGGGAAACTGGGAAACCGGGATACCGGGATACCGGGAAACCGGGATACCGGGATACCGGGATACCGGGAAACCGGGATACCGGGAAACCAGGAAACCGGGATACCGGGATACCGGGATACCGGGATACCGAGAAACCGGGAAACCGGGAAACTGGGAAACCGGGATACCGGGATACCGGGAGACCGGGATACCGGGATACCTGGAAACCGGGATACCGGGATACCGCGATTCCGGGATACCAGGATACCGTGATACCGGGAAACCCGGGATACCGGGATACCGGGAAACCGGGATACCGGGATACCGGGATACCGGGAAACCGGGATACCGGGAAACCAGGAAACCGGGATACCGGGATACCGGGATACCGGGATACCAGGAAACCGGGAAACCGGGATACCGGGATACCGGGATACCGGGATACCGGGAAACTAGGAAACCGGGATACTGGGATACCGGGAAACCGGGAAACCCGAGAAACCCGGGAAACCGGGATACCGGGATGCCGGGATACCGGGAAACCGGACAGCGGGAAACCGGGATACCGGGATACCGAGAAACTGGGAAACCGGGAAACTGGGAAACCGGGATACCGGGATACCGGGATACCGGGATACCGGGATACCGGGAAACCGGGATACCGGGATACCGTGATTCCGGGATACCAGGATACCGGGATACCGGGATACCGGGATACCGGGAAACCCGGGATACTGGGATACCGGGAAACCGGGATACCGGGAAACCGAGCTACCGGGAAACCCGGGATACCGGAAAACCGGGATACCATGATACATGGAAACCGGGAAACCGGGATACCGGGATACCGGGAAACCGGGATACCGGGAAACCGGGAAACCGGGAAACCGGGATACCGGGAAACTGGGAAACCGGGATACTGGGATACCGGGAAACCGGGAAACCCGAGAAACCCGGGAAACCGGGATACCGGGATGCCGGGATACCGGGAAACTGGATAGCGGGAAACCGGGATACCGGGATACCGGGATACCGAGAAACCGGGAAACCGGGAAACTGGGAAACCGGGATACCGGGATACCGGGATACAGCGATACCGGGATACCGGGAAACCGGGATACCGGGATACCGTGATTCCGGGATACCAGGTTACATACCGGGATACCGGGATACCGGGAAACCAGGAATACCGGGATACCGGGAAACCGGGATACCGGGAAACCGGGATACCGGGAAACCCGGGATACCGGAAAACCGGGATACCGGGATACCGGGAAACCGGGAAACTGGGATACCGGGATACCGTGAAACCGGGATACCGGGATACCGGGAAACCGGGATACCAGGATACCGGGATACCGGGAAACCGGGATACCGGGAAACCGGGATACCAAGATATTGGGAAACCGGGATACCGGGAAACCGGGAAACTGGGACACCGGGAATCTGGGAAACCGGGATACCGGGATACCGGGATACCAGGATAGCGGGAAACCGGGATAGCGGGAAACCGGGATAGCGGGAAACCGGGAAACCGGAATACCGGGAAACCGGGAAACCGGGAAACCGGGAAACCGGGATACTAGGATACCGGGAAACCGGGATAACGGGATACCGGGAAACCGGAAAACCGGGATACCGGGATACCGGGATACCGGGAAACCGGGAAACCGGGAAACCGGGATACCGGGAAACCGGGAAACTGGGAAACCGGGAAACCGGGATACCGGGATACCGGGATACCGGGAAACCGGGATACCAGGATACCGTGATTCCGGGATACCAGGATACCGGGATACCGAGATACCAGGATACCGGGAAACCCGGGATACCGGAAAACCGGGATACTGGGATACCGGGAAACCGGGAAACCGGGAAACCGGGATACCGGGATACCGGGATACCGGGATACCGGGATACCGGGATACCGGGATTCCGGGATACCGGGAAACCAGGAAACCCGAGAAACCCGGGAAACCGGGATACCGGGATGCCGGGATACCGGGAAACCGGATAGCTAGAAACCGGGATACTGGGATACCGGGATACCGAGAAACCGGGAAACCGGGAAACTGGGAAACCGGGATACCGGGATACCGGGATACCGGGATACCGGGATACCTGGAAACCGGGATACCGGGATACCGCGATTCCGGGATACCAGGATACCGGGATACCGGGAAACCGGGATACCGGGATACCGGGATACCGGGATACCGGGATACCGGGATACCGGGATACCGGGAAACCGGGATACCGGGATACCGTGATTCCGGGATACCAGGATACCGGGATACCGGGATACCGAGATACCGGGATACCGGGAAACCGGGAAACCGGGATACAGGGAAACCGGGATACCGGGAAACCGGGAAACCGGGAAACCGGGATACCGGGAAACCGGGAAACGGGGAAACGGGGAAACCGGGATACCGGGAAACCGGGATACCGGGAAACCGGGATACCGGGAAACCGGGAAACCGGGAAACTGGGATACCGGAAAACCGGGACTTAGTTGGATTTGACGCCTGGGAAGGCAGCGTCAAAACGCACCGTTTTTCTCCTGGACGTTGGGCGAACGTTTTGCTCCTAATTTTTTTTGGGGCAGCCTGAAATCGGAAAAAAAAACTAAGGGCCAAAACAATAGGAGAAGTATAGAGAGTAGAGAAGGGGAAGGATATGAATTGGTCTGCAGGTAGGCAGAGAAGGAAGCGGGATGCAAGGCAAGCAGAGAGTACCTCTGTGGGCGCTCCAGTTCCGGGAAAGAATGACCCCCCTTCATGGCGATGGATAGACACATAGAACACCTGAATGAGTGGAGTGGAGGATAGGAGGGGGGCACCCGGGTAGGAGAAGGAAGGAAGCGACTTTTGAGTCGACTCAAGAAGGACCCACTTCGATGATGATGGATGGACACATAGAACACCTGTGTGGGTGGAGGAAAGGAGGGGGGCACCTGGTCAGGAGGAGGAAAGACAGGGGGGAAAAGGGTGGAAGGAGGGTAGGGTAACAATAGTACAGCACGAGGGGAAGAGTGACGGGTAAGGGAAGGGGGGAGAGGAGTGGAACAGGAGGATGGGGGATGTATGTCTAGAAGGTCGAAGCCAAGGGTTGAGATGGTTCACGTTAACGAGAAAGGGGATGAAAAAAGCAGGGGAACGGGAGGAAGATGGCTGGCACATAAAGAGAGTGTGTGTGGTGCACGTAGGGTTGAACGTCAGGAGGGGGGTGGCTGGCACAGAAGGGACGCAAGGAGAGGAGTGTGCTTACAGAAGGGTCGCTCTCAATGACGACTTTTGAGGCGCCTCAAAACTTTTGACTTTTTTTAGGCGCCTTAAAAGTGGAGTGGCTGGCACAGAAGGGATGCAAGGAGAGGAGTGTGCTTACAGAAGGGTCGCTCTCAAAGATTTGCTGTGTCCCATTGCCATGATGCACGTCCTGTGGTGGTAGGGATTACGGGAGCAAGGAGGTAATTGGGAGAACAGGGATGTGTGATTACAGCAGCATGGTACCGCGCTGCTTTGCTTCCTGTGATGTGCCTACAGTTCCATCTTTTGAGGTGGCCTCAAAGCTTAGTTGTGCGTTTAGGTTGAGAACTTGGGAATAGGCAGCCGCCGTGACTTGCGAAAACCACCCAGTGGCAAAAGAACACAGAGGCAAAGAAGGGGAAGGCGAGACAATGTGAAGGAGAGCAAGGGGAAGAGCAGGCGCAGCAGCAACAGCAGCAGCAGCAGCAGCAGCAGCAGAAGAAGAAGAAGAAGGAGAAGAAGAAGCAGAAGAAGAAGAAGAAGAAGCAGCAGCTGACCCAGTCAAGCAGCAGGATCTTCTTAGCCCCTGCTGCCTGCGCTGCCCTGGCTGCCACAGCTGCATTGTTGTGCAGACAGAAGCCCTGCGGCCCCTCCGTCCCTGCATGGTGTCCTGGCGGCCGCACCTGCATGCAGTGAGCAAGAATGTGAGCGGGGTGGGGGCGGATGGAGATGAGATGGTACTAGGGATGGGGATGAGGACGATGATGGGGATGGGTATGAGGATAAAGCGGTAAGTGCAGAGAGGATGGGATATGAGAGCGCGAGGAAAGGATGAAAGATCAATGGAATAAAATATTTGGCTCAACGAAACTCGATAGAGCAAGAGGACTCTCAAAGGTGCAAACTGGGTTCAGAAAAGAAGGTGGCGAGTGGACAGCACCAGAGCAAAGCCGTTGAGGAGGCGGCCGGTGGCAATGGCGCGAGCCATGGTGGCTGCTGTCCCCGCTGCCAGGCGCGCTGCTGCTGGCGACCACCGGTTGGCGTATGTGTCCGCGTTGAACGCACTGCAGGGAGTGAACAGGGATGGACGGACGGAGGGACGGACGGCGGGACAGGCAGACAGAGGGCTTTTGAGTCAATTCAGGAGGTCTGCATGTCGCTGTTGCTGGCTAATGTGCAACAACTGGTTGGCGTAATGTGGAGCGTGTTAGTGTGGGAACACATGCAGAGCAGGGAGAGGAGACCAGGCGAGACAGGGGGGGGCAAGCAAATAGAAGAGGCGAAGTGAAAGGGGTTAGTGTGCAGGTAAGCACGTGATGCTCCCACATGGGCACAGCCATGTTATCACGTTGAGATGACCTGGATGTGCATGGTCAGGTCAGGTGCTCGCTCACCCGCCTGATTCCTTCGATGGTTGAAAAGGCACTTTGGAACCCATTCGCAGTCAGTTGCTCATTAGTAGTCTGCAACTGGTGGTTCTGAATGATGCGCACCTGGTGTCAGTTGAAGCTGCCTTGTCCACCATTGCTAGATGCTTGACCGTGTGGCTCTGGTGGAATGGAGGGCATGGCATGAATGAAGGATGGGTTATGGAAAGCGTGAGCACTGAGCAACGGCGTGGTAGGATATACATGGGCAGCAGCGTGCACAGCTGAATTCTGAAACAGACACACGAAATGATGGAAACGAAGTGTGTTTTTTTTAGTCGCCTAAAAAAACTGAACCCTGAAAGAACCAGAGAGAACGGAGAACGAAAGGTGTGTGAGAGAGAGGCTGAATCGAGAACACGGGCAGCACAAAGAGGAGCACAACGAGAACGATCATGCGAGTGCCCTTATTGTGTGTGAGGGAATGCACATTAAGGGCATATGATTTACTCCAAGTACTCTAATGCACTCGTCACATGGGCACTGCAGTTTTTTTTTCTTGGGGTGCCTCAGAAACTGTGAGTGCATGTGCATTGCTCAAGTGCACATTATTGACTGTGAGCATCATAGCATAATTAGAATGCATGCAACGCATGGGTTTTTTTTGGGAAGCTCACATTGAGAATAAGGTTATCTGCTGCACTCTCTGATGCCCATGCCTTACATAGACCTGGGAACAAACCTACATGCATGCATGCACACACACATGCAATCCAGACACGCATCCATTCAAACACAAAATAAAGCATACATGCACAAAAAATTACACACATAATAAGCTGCCATTCCCTTCCCACACGTGCAAACCCTTGTCTCAACCAGTTCAAGCACACAGAACAAACAAAAGGCTCAACCCAAACAGAAAGTAGGAGTTAGAAACAACAGATCCACTCAACCCTTTAACGCGTCCTCACTTTCTGTTCTTCCCTCCAACGATAATCCTTTTCCCCTTTCCCATCCCTCACCACCGCTCCCCCACCCACCCACCCACCGACCCCCACCTGCGCCTTTAAGAAATGCCAGAATGGCTCGCAGTCGGTCCGGACGCTCAGGATGCAGAGAGGCACTGCCGACCTGCAATGCACCACAGAGTGAAGGCAGCACATGCAGCACACACAGGGCATGTCATGTCGCAAAGTCGATGGGGGGACGAGAGGTAACAGGGGCATGGGTGGGGAGAGGGGGAGGGCGGGGAGTTGGAGTGTGGGGGGGGGGGGAGAAATGGAATGGAAGATGCAGTGGAGTGTAGAGCGAGACTGTAACTAACAGTTGGGATCAACGGTTGCCACTGACAAATGAGAGCAACAGTTGGGAGTGACCGTTGGGAGCGGCACGAGTGTGTGGCTAAAGCATGGAATTGCAAGTCTGGATTGGAGCATTGTGAATTTGATCTGAACTGCCCAGATTGCATGCACCGGCATAAGGGAACAGATAGCTGGCTGGCACCATGGGAAATGGACCCATCCATCCATTCTCCGTGTACATACATACAAATGCACACATGGCTGACATGCAACTGCACATGCAGCCGCACACATGCACATAAACATACCAGTAGTACCCAAAACTGCGGAAAGCATGCATCTAAATATAACGAACGTAATCATACCAGATTCAAGCGTGTCATGTCAAGTGTGCAACTCCCCTCACCTCCTCATGCAGCAGCATCAGCTCATCACATCCGATTGCAGTGTGCCCTTCCAAACTCTCACCCCCTCCTTCTCCTCGTCTCTTCACTCCCGAATTCTTTCTCCCTGATTTTCCAGCCCCTGGCGTCATCCTTGTCCCAGCTCCTGCTACTGCTGCGCTAACCGTAGTTGCTGCTGCTACCGTTGCTGCTGCTCCCATCTTCTCCACTGAAAGGATGGAAAAGGACTCGCGAGCTCCACACACCTGCACAATGTGAGAAAGGTCACCATTGTTGAAGTGTGTATGCACATGCAAATTTTTAGCAGTCTAATTTGGGAGATATTTGTTCACAGTGAACAGAGGATGGTAAATGGTGAAAGGTGAATGTTGCGTGCTAAAAGGTTGCGATTAAACAAAAGGACATGAGCGTGCGTGCGTGCGTGTGTGTGTGTGTGTGCGCGCGCGTGCTCATGAGCCTTCAAAACCATCACCAGCAGATTCCTCTCCCACCAGCAAATACAACCCCCATCCTCCTCTTACGCACGTCGCACTCTTCGTCAGCATCACTTGCCACCCCTTTCCTCTTCTCAGGGCCGATCCGCCCATTCTTCGCCGTAACTTTCCCTCCACTCCCATCCCTTTTCTCCTTTCCCTTCTTCTTCCCCTTCTCCTTCTCCTTCTCCTTCTTCTCCTCCTCCTTTTTCGCTCCTGTCCACTCAATTTCCACTTCCGTTGTAACCTCCTGCACGTCACTGTCACTCCCGCTACTGGCACTCCCGTCGTTAGCGCTCGCCTCTAATACTTCCACCTCTGTGCTTGTGTCGTCTTCCGAGTCTTGGGAATCCCGCTCACGGCTCGTCTCGCCGTTGCCATTGCCGTCGACGTTCACGGCGACGTTAACGTTGGTGCAGTTTAGGCAGTTCCATCTGCGAAGTGGAAGACTATTTTCGTAACGAGCTTTCAACCATCGAGGCAGCCAATCAGCGTCCTCTTCCTCCTCGTCTCCTTCCCCGCCTTCCTTGTTCTCCCCTCCTTCCTCATCGCTTGTCGAATCATCGTCTTCCTCCTCCTCGGTTTCAGTGTAATCAGCAAAGTCGTCAAAGTCGTCGTCCTCCTCCTCGCCTTGCTCGTCGTTATTAATGTCAGCGGCATTGTCACGCGCCATGTCCGCGCGTTTCACGTCCTGATCCTTGTGTTCGTTAGGCGTCATACCCTGCGCCATGGATTTCCTGAATTTATTAGATAGTCGAAGCTTACACGGTTAGTGTAGGTAGGAAAGTGATGTTATCCATGGAAAGTTTGTAAAAAAAAAAACTACCAAGGGAAATTCAACAAAATCTAATGACATGCACAGAAAGCACATAGTGTACAAGCTAATCGTAAAGCATCCTACGGATCAACCTCATCGACAATATGTTTTCTAATGAATACCATTATATGCTACCCATGCTACGTATACTTTTATTGTCCTGCTAGAAAAATGAGTAATACACTTACGCAACTACATCAGAACTTTGTAGCGAGAACAACTTTCTTCACTTGCTGGACGTGGAATGGGAGATGGAAGGACTTGATTATTCTGGTCCGTGGCAGCCATGCCGAGCCAAAAGGACAACCTAATCCGCAAAGCTGGGGGGGTTTCACACAGCCGTCATTCGACTGGCCTGGTGACGCGGCTTGGCCAGCTGCCTCGGCTCTCCTAAGATGATGGAGCGAGGGAACCGTGGTGGCTGGCATGGCACCTGCGGAAACGTGTGTCGCGATATTTGCGAGCCGTGCCCGAACCAGGGCAGCGAGGCTAAGTTACCACAGCTTTGGTTCTCAGTGAGCGTAAGGGTACCTCCAAGCCTTCGGTGGACGTTCGAGAGCACTCCCAAGCGAGATGTCAAGTCAGCCATGGCATGGCACCACTTACACAACCGCCCCGCTTGGTTTGGATGTCCTTGGCAGGTCAAGGAAGAATGCTTGCGCCTCGCTCTCAATAGTACCTCCACTTCTCCGCCCGCCTTTCCTTTTGACCGTGTTTCCTCCAACCCAAACCAGAGATTCTCCAGGGTCCTCTCCGACATTTTCTGGAGGCCAATGTCGTCGCACCACATCCCCTCTGGTGCCAACCTTTCTCCCTGCCATTTCCATTTCCACCCCCTCCAACCCGCCGCCCCCGGTGCCTCATCCCTTAAATATGCGACTTGTTCGTCGCTGTCATTTTCGCCGGCTCGGCTCGACCGACCGACCCTCATTTAAATGTCTAAGTAAAGGGCGATAAGCGCTAACCTTCCTATTTTTTCGCCCCTCCCGACCAACCTCATTCTGCGCTCTATCTTGAGTGTCATGGCTTAGTGCTGTTTCGACATCACGAGGCTAAGTACGCGTTGGTGTAGTGATGCAGATCAGGAAGCAGGTCAGTTTAGAGGCTGTACCTACCCCAGTAGGGCACAGCGAAACGAGACCTCACGATCGACTGCGATTCTCAGTGTCCACCTGGAATGTCGGCAGCACAGACACCTCACTGTCTCCGCATACAGTACTCTACAGTGCCTTTTTCAATAACGCCTGACCCATTTGCCCGAGTAGTAAAGACTCTTCAACGGTCAAAGGACAACCTTTTAGCCGACAGTCCGCTTGTAACGATCCTGCGCCTGCGAGCGGAGGGTAAACGGAGGGGAAACGGAAACTAACCTAACAGAAACACAATGACGCAGTTAGTACATCGTGGTGCCTCCCGATTAGCAGCGCTAGACCGACGACGCCGACAGCCGACCACGAGCCCGTCCGACCACAGACTACATCATATATCACTGCATCATCATACCATTTCCTGCTCTCCGACGATGCCGCAACGACCACGACCACGACAGCCGCAACAACAGGACCAACAACCGTCGGTACTAAGACCAGCGGCGACAGCGCTACTAGTAACAGTGCTGCTGCTGTCAGCCGCCGCGCTCTCGCGCGGGGACGTAACGGACGTGTTCAAGCCCTTCTGCGGACCCGAGTCGTACAAAGACCCTCCTCCTAAAGGGTGGAAACGGTGGAGCGACCCGCGGGCGTGGCCCAATAACAGAGTGCCAGGTGTGGGGAATAACCGAGGCGCCAACGCGACGATAACGTGCGGCGTGGGGATGCTCTTAGACGTCAGCATCACCGTCTACTTTCTGAAGATCAATGGCTGGCTCAAGTAAGCGCTGCTTTCTTCCCCCCACCCCACCCACCATCCCCCTCACCACCCTCAACACCCACTCATATCTCATCTTCCCCTTCCTCCCAACATCAGCCTAGCCGCACCTGCCTAGCCTCACCTGCCTTGCCGCACCGGCGTAGCCTCACCTGCCTATCCTCATCATCTTTTCAGATCGTGCGACGTCTCCAGAGCACCTTTCCGTGTCATTCTTTTCCCCATCATCACTCGTCCCCTTCCGCTGTCCCTTACCTTTCCCAATAGTTGCCTCCCTGTCACCTTTCCAACCCCCCGTACCCCGCGTCCCCCCGTTCCCCCCGGCGTCCGCGTGCGCGCGCATGGCGCAGGGTGGAGGCGTTGGGTCCACTGCAGGTGAATGCGGCGTTCATTTTAAATCAGGGCCGCGTCACTGTCGGCACGGCAACGTCGCCGTATGCCGGCAAGCTAACCGTCAACCTAACCGGCGCCGCCAACGAGCTCATCATCACGCGCCCCCCCGCCGCGCCGTTTCAGCCGCGCTCCGTAGGCGTGCGTGTGTTCGCCACCGTCGGCGGGCGGCTCGAGCTCAATGGCATGTATGGCAACGCGCCCGCGTGGACCACGCTCGCCGCTACTGCGAATCAAGGGGCGCGAGCTATCCGGGTTAAGGGGGACGTGAGCGCGTGGCCGGTAGGCGGCGTGATTGCGATCACGTCGACGGATTTTGACCGTTACCAGGCGGAGAATTTTACAATCAGATCGGTGGCGAGAGGTCCAAGGAACACGACGGTGTTGGCGCTGAACGGCGCGCTGGCGTGGATGCACTGGGGGGAGGCGGTGACGTCGGGCGTGGCGGGCGCGACGGTGGACGAGGCGGCGGAGGTGGCGCTGCTGTCGCGCGCGATCGTGATTCAGGGCCACCAGAACCCCGAGGACCCGCTAATCGGCGGGCATTTCATGGTGATGCAGACGGCAGAGCGGCAACTCATCAAAGGCGTCGAGCTCGTCAACATGGGCCAGCAGGGAAGCCTCGGCCGCTACCCCATGCACTTTCACCTCTGCCAGAACGTTAGAGGCTCGGTGGTCAGCAGCTGTAGCGTGCACGACAGCAATCAACGGTGCTACGTGGTGCACGGCACGTGGAATCTACGGCTGGAGTGGAACCTGGGGATCAAAACCAAGGGCCACTGCTTCCTGCTGGAGGACGGTATCGAAACCGGCAACGTGTTTTATAAGAACCTAGGGTTTCTCCAGGAGCCCCCGCAGCGCATGCTCACTCCGCTCGACGCGAAACCCGCCGTGCAGAGCGACAACTCGCCGTCGACGTTTTGGATCACGAACCCGAACAACGCGTTCATAGGGAATGTCGCGGCGGGGTCGAGCGATTCGGGATTCTGGTTCCAGCTCGAAGCGGACGTGAAAGGGCCGTCCGCGTTGTACGCGCAAGCGGCGGCCATGGCGCCGAAGCTCATGCCGCTGGGTTCGTTCGTGGGCAACGCGGCGCACTCCAACGGCCGCGCGGGGCTGCGCACGTACCCCTCGGGGTACCGCCCTCGCCTCAACGGGGGGAAATCGACGATGCAGGAATATTCGGGGATCAACGCGGTATGACGGGAGGCGAAAAAGAAAAGAGGATTTAGTGAGCGAGGAAAAAGATAGTGTCATACGCTGCTATGGATTCCCTTAGGTTGCATGTGTGAGTGAGGGCGGTCGAGGTGGGGGGAGTGCAATGAATGAACGCATTGAGATGGGGTGAAATCTAGGGTGGTAATAGGGGGTCTTTGCTTGTGGTGTATGTTCCCGAATCTCGAGGTTGCATGCTAGTTTGGGTCTGGTCCAAAAGATCGAAACGCCTTTTTGTTCGGTGCCATCCGCGAGCACTTATAAGTCAGGTGTCTTTTCCTTGCCCTGCCCGTTCGTCTGCCCGTTCCAGCCTGCAGCGAACATTACATTTAAGGGCTTCCGGGCGTACAAGAACCAGTTCATAGGGTGAGAGCCTCTTTCTTGACACTTCCCCTTCCTTTCTATTTGTACCACCACCCTGGTTCCTCAGTCTTTCTCGCCATTTGCTGCCCCAACCCCTCCCCACCCCTGTAACATTTTCACTCTTTCTGTGATGTCACATCCACCTTCACTGATTTCAAACTGCTGCGCCTTCTCCTCTCATTCACAACAAAACCCTTCCCCTTCCCCCTCCCCCTCCCCCTCCCCCTTCCCATCCCCCTCCTCCTCCCTCTCCATCTCCTCCCCCTCCCTCTCCCCCTTTGCTTCCCCCTGTCCTCACCTCCGTGCGTGCAGCATGTTCATTCACGAGACGGACTCGCTGACCATCACAGAGGCGCAGGTGGCGGACAATGCAATTGTGGGCATCGAGCTCAACCGCGACCAGGCCATCACGGTGAGAGCTGGGAGGAGGAGTGAGCGGGGGGGAGAGCCCGGCCACGCTCACTGCAGCATGTCTCATGATGGTGCTCTTGTTGAAGCGAAGAGATAGAGTGTCGCACTATGCTCCATGCTCCGAATTTTCATGCCCTGTGCTCCATACTCCAAGCTCAGCTCAGCAACACTCAACTAACCATCATGCAACAACCCCACTTCCCTCCTTATTCTCACTGCTTTGTCCCCCTTCACCCCTCTCACTCCCCATGCCCTCCCCCCAGATCTCCAACTCGGTAATCCTGGGCGAGACGGACAACACAGGAAATCCCTTGGGCTGCGACAACACGCACACAGAGTACACATCCTGCAAGTCCCGCGTGGAGAAGACCGGATCCTGCAACCTTCCGTTCGCCTCCACGCCCGACGTGGCCCGCTCCAACTCCCCCACCGTCTCGCGCTACTGGACCCAGTTCGGAGTGTTGATCGACCAGGACGAGTACCCCGGGCACGGGCGCAAGGGCATGCCGCACCGCATCGTCAACTGTACGTTCGGGAAGTTTTTCAACAAGTGCAGAACCTCGGCCGCGGTGACAGCCAACGGGCACGGCACGGACATGTGGACGACGGCGCATAGCAGTGCGAGGATTCGGATGGCGGACCGGTCGCCGTTTATCTGGATGGTGCCGCGGCAGCTGGGGCAGCTGGGGTTTGAGACCGGGGGAGGCGATGCAGGCCCGCTCACAAGGTTCCTCACGTGGAAGGATGAAGATGGGACGGTGCTGGGCGGTACGGGTGGGTATGCCGTGGCGAATACGACTGGGCTGGAGCCCTCGTCCACTGTTCGCTGCTCTCCGGTATGTGCTGTGGGGAGGGGTGAGGGGGAGAAGGAGGGGTGTCTGTCTGGGGGGAAGGACAGTTTTGTGCTGTGTGCTGTGGATGGTGGTGGTGATTCCTGGCAGAACGTATGGATTACCATGTTATCATCTCCCAACAACCCAATGCATGCTGCCACTGCTGCCAGTGCTGTCATGTACCACATCCATCATCCGGCTCATACACACCCCCCTCCCCCTCCACACCTTTCCTCTCCACCTCTCTCCCCTCTCCACCTCAATCCCCTCTCCACCTCTCTCCCCTCTCCACCTCATACACACCCCCCTCCTCCTCTCCCCCCACCCCTCTCTTCCCCCAGCGCCCGCACTGGAACGGCATGGCGTGCCCGCAAGCGTGCTACCGCAGCGTGGGCATCATGGGCGCGCCCTTCCTCCTCACGCGCATCGCAGACGGAGCAGTGATCAACCCCGATGGCGCACGCTACGTGAACCTCCCCGCCAACACCTCCTACCTCGTCACGTTCACCGCTCTTCCCTCCGGCCCTGTGTCGCTCGCGTACACGGATCAAGGACTTAGCTGTTCCTCATCGGTGGTGCTGCAGTTGGCGCCTCCCGCGCCCAGGATGGTGTGGCAGGTGGCCTCTGCGCCGAAATTGTTCTGGCAGTGAGTGGCGCTGCACGGCGTGCAGGTGTTAGGTGTGGTGAGGGGAAGTGTGTGGAGAGGGAGACGAATGGGGGTATGTAAGGGGAGAGGGGTTAGAGGAAGAGAGGGAAACGGGGAGTGTAGTTGGATGGAATGTGTGGGAGATGCACGTTTTGCTCCAGTGCTCCTAGTGGTTAGGATATTCTCTCCGCCTCACCCGCCTTCTACTGATTCCCTCCCTCCCTGTCTATCTCCCTCCCCTCCCTCCCCCCACCACTCTCCTCCGCTTTCCTTCCTCGCCCATCAGGGCGTGTGGCAGGGTGAAGCGAAGGCGCCGTTCAAGAACATTACGCAGCTGGTGTACAAGCGTGACACTCCGCTTCCCCTGCCTTCTATTGAATCACTCCCTCCTTTCCTCCCTCCCTTTCTCCCTTCCCTCTCCCGCCGCGCCCATCAGAGCGTGTGGCGGGGTGAAGGCGCCGTTCAAGAACATTACGCAGCTGGCGTACAAGTGTGACGCACAGCGCAATGTGAACCTGCAGATCACCATGGGCTCCTCCTCCTCGGTCGTCGTCTCGCTCTCTGCTGTCCGCGGCTCCATCGCCTGCACGTACACGTGAGTGCCGAGTATTTTTGAGGTCTGTTGGTAGACGCCGAGCTGAGAGGAGGTATCGGGTCTGGTATAGTCTTGAGGCGCCTTAAAACTAGACCCGATCGTCGTCTCGCTCTCTGCTGTCCGCGGCTCCATCGCCTGCACGTACACGGAGTGCGGCACACAGTGCAACTGTGCAGTCGCTTCTCATGGGGGTGCAACCGTGCAATCCAGTAAAAACTCTTTACATGAGAGTGTTTATTAGAGCGTAATCGTGCTGGTCACAAGCTGAAAGGGAAAGGATCTGGTACCTACCTACCTACCTACCGACCTACCTACCGACCTACCGACCTACCTACCTATGAAGCATTCGAGTAGGAGTGTGGGAGACCAATCCTACCACCTTGTTGTTCCCTTTCCACATTGCACATGTCTCTCGCACCTCTGCGTCCCCCCTCCTTTCCAACAACAGGCAATGCGGTGTGTTCTCCTCGTCAGGCACGTGGCGCTACTCTGATGCCGGCACGCGCCCGGCCTCCTTCCTCTCCCTCAAGCCCCTCGCTGCCTCTGACTCAAACTGGAAGCGGGGCGTGGGGCCCTTTGGCCGCGGCGGCCAGGGCGAACTCACCACGCTCGCCAGCCCGCAAGCCGTGAGTCCAGTGTCTAGAGTCTGTAGTGCACAGTGTAGAGTGTACATTCTTCCCCTTCTCCCCTCTCTTCCCCTTCTCGCCCCCCTTTTCCCTTCCCCCTCTCAACCCCCTCTCGTCCTCTCCTGTCCCCAACCCACTAACCCCCCTCCTCCCCCCTGTGTGTGTATGCAGACATCCCTGGCGTTCTACTTTCGGAAGCAGTTCCAGCTTGACAACACTTCCACGCTGTGCTACCAGCGCCTGCTGCTGGGCGTGGTGGCCAGTGACGGCTTTGTGGTCTATGTGAACGGCAAGGAGGTGCTGCGCTCCAACATGCCACAGGGCCGCGTCCTGCCCACCACCCCCGTGAGTCCATAGGGTTGTGGCACGCGGCACAAGGAACAGGGATCAAGGTATGGAACATGGAACATGGAACATGGCACATGGAAAAAGGAACATGGAGCATGGAACATGGGACATGGAACATGGAACACACTCGTCTTGACTTTCTCTCACCACTTTTCTTGGAGATCCGTGTATGCTGCTTTCCACAATCAAATTCATGTCTGAATTCGTCATGGCTGTACAACCTGTCACTCCCGACTCTAAATCCCTCCACGCCCCTCCCTTTCCATACATCCTTGCCCTTCTCCATTCCCCTCCATTCCCCTCCCTCACCCCACCAGGTCAGGTGTCCATAAACGGGAGTCCCAACGCGCCCTGGTCCACCTTCTCCATCTCTTGAGCCCAACCAGAAGAAGTTTTCTAAGCCGCCTCAGAAGCTAACCCTCCTTCTCACCCTCCCCTCCCGTCCCCTGCCCTCGCTCCCCACCAGGCGTCCATGGATGCGAGTCCCAACGCGCCCTGGTCCACCTTCACTGTCTCCCTGGACTCCTTCCGCTCTCTCCTCCGCACGGGCGCCAACGAAGTAGCGGTGGAGCTGCACACGTCCAGCCCGTACTCATGGGAGTCCCGCTTTGACATGTGGATGGCTCTCGCCAGCAGCACGTGCGCGCCCTGGCGTATATTCAACCCGCAGTCGCTGGTGCCCACGCCGCAGGCCACGCCCATGGCGGCTGCGAAAGCGGCACGGATGGCGTCGAGCATGGCGCATGTGGGTGGGATTGGAGGGGATGGAAACGGGGACTATGGGGATGAGGCGGACCTTAGATGACAACGGCGGTTGGGAGGAGTGCGAGAGGGAGGGGAGGTGAGGAGGGGTTGGGTTGGGGGAAGGTGAAAAGACAAGGGAGGGGGGAATGAAGGGGAGGAGATGAGGGAAGGGAAGGGAAGGGATGGAGAGCGAGCTCGACACATGCTATCTGGAACATGCGCTACCCAGGGGTTCCAGCGCATACGACATTCTCTAACCATTGCATCCAACACATGCACTATCCGCCACCCGTGCCATCCGACACGTCACACATGCCATATCCGCCACCCAGCCAGTCCAACATGCCAAATCCGTTACCCATGACATCCAACAGTCAAGCAAGCAGCCATGACACCCCAACACCCATTCTGGGGCAGCAGCACTACCTCTCACATCCCCTCCATTTCTGATTCTGAAGACATCGCACTTCCAGCACAGCCATGTCCCCAGCTTCCTCTAGCCTTGTTTTACTTCTACCAAAAACTGCACAAATCGCACTCTTACTAAAACAGCGCTAATAACTATCCCTGTTCTTAGATTTAACTTATCTAATCGTGGCAGCTTTTTCAGCTGCTGCATCTACCCCCTTAACGGACGGTTTTCAGACAACTGATTTAAAGCTGCTGGCTCAAATTGCACAGGTTTTAAAATCATGACGAGGGGGTTTTACTGGTTTGGGTTTTGGAGAGTGTTTCAGATTTTGTGAAATTTGTTTTTTTTTTAATTTTCGCCAAACCTAGCCAGCCCCGCGTTTTTACCCTGGCAGGGCTTTTGAGCAACCCTTGTGATCAGTGTTCCATGTTACAATCCCAAGTGGGACTTTGTGAAGGATCGCTCAGGGTTGATCGCAGAGTAGTGTTGCAGCGGAAGATTTGAATCTCAGGTCAGAGTGAATGTAAATGACTGAGTTGATAAAAGCATGCATACATCGAGTTTATATAAGGGTACGTTCCTGTGGAGACACTTGTGTCTTGTTGGGCTGAGAATTTCAGCCTTAGGATCTTTGCAGAGAATAGGCTAGTAGGTGCTAGAGTAGCACAGCGGAAGTCTTGAGTGAATGTACTTGTGCTGGTATGTGAGAACAAGTAATTGATTAAAGCAAAGGGCATACAGGAATATATAGAAAGGATAGATTACAAGAAGCGGTTATGTTTATCGAGACGCGTAACGCTTCGACTATCGAGGTGGTTACTGCTCACTGAAGCGTCGCTTGCTGTTACGTAACCTCCAGGCGGTTACAGCTCGCAACCTCCAGTTGCGGTTTGATGTGGTACGCGCCTTTTCGACTTCGTACTCCTTTTGTTGTGCTTCAGTATCGGGTGAGGTTCGATACTACAGAAACGCACTAAGTCATGCGTTTATTTTCCCAACATGTCTCAACCCCCGTTTTCCCGGATCGCGCCTGTAAATTTGCAAAATGTTGTGTCTCAAACAACCAATGAACCTCGACTCTGAGCGACAGATGGGACCGGCCAGGTGGGCGCTTTCTATTGGTGGCGACCTCTTGGATTGACCCCGCTGCTGTTTTCCCGCCGGGCATCCCAGTCCAAAAAAGCGCAACCCGCAATGAATGTCGCGGCGGCGTCTAGACACGGTGGATGGTGTTGCAAATTGGTCGAGTCGGGCATCACAGAAACACTACAGACACACAGGCTTGTGTTCAACTACAGAAGCAAACACTGGCACAAGTACAAAACCACCACCCCACTAGTCATAATGTGCCTCCCAGTCTAGCATCCATGGCACAGCCTCGCGACGTGCCCTTCCTCATGCAGCTGCTCGTCGCATGGGTCACGTTCTACTACAGCATCTTCATGGACGCCGTCTCCAGATCTGTCGGCGGCTTGCTGGAGGCGAACGTGTTCACCGAGGAAGTGTCCTCGGCTTCTAGCTCGCGTGGCTCCAACCTCACCGCCGAGCGGAAAAGGAGGTCAGGGCTTCGCCGGCGCAGGTACCAGCTGCTGCTAGAGGACCTGGAAGGCATGGGGGAGGAAGAATTCAGGGATTTGTTTCGCATCAACCACGCAATTCTTGACTACATTGTCAACGGGATGGCGCACTACATGCAGCCCTACGTTGACAGATACTTGATCACGCACGAGGTGGCATGCCTTGTGGCTATCAAATACCTGGCCAGCGGCATGTCGTTTCGAGACCTGTCGGCAGTCTTCGGCCTGTCCAAGACGCTGTGCCACACGCTGGTAGATGCGCTTCTCATGCACTTCCCGACGGACTTCAAGCAGCAGTGGGTCCACTTCCCGAGCCGTGACGACCTCGATGAGATGGCGGAGGAGTTTCGCGCCATCAAGGGAGTCCCTGCGGTGGTGGGGGCTTTAGACGGCACACACATACCCATGAAGGGGATGGAGGGGCACAGGCAAGAGTACTACACGCGCAAGTCATGCTACGCCGTGCAGCTGCAGATCACATGCGATGCTCGCGGCATCATTTGGGACTACTTGGTAGGATACCCGGGCAGTGCACACGATCACAGGGTGTTCATGAACAGCGCGTTACACGAAAGGTTGCACAACGGAGACATTGCGCCATACCAAATTGTGGGAGATGCTGCCTACCCACTCAGGGACTTCTGCCTGACCCCCCTACATGCACCCCGTGAAGGCCTAATGGATGACTGGGAGCAGTGCTTCAACTACTGCCAAAGCGCTACGCGCATGGCAGTAGAGCGTTGCATCGGCGCATTCAAGGGCCGGTGGCGTCTATTCGCGGGCCACAATGATTGCGTGCTCTGGCGCATTCTTGCAGGGGCGTCTTGTGGCGTCATCCTGCACAACATGTGTGAAACGATGGGAGCGGTTAGGCGGGTGAATGCGTCGTGGGCGAACTTGCCCCGAAACCGAGACCCGTGGTGGACTCGTGGTGCAGTCAGCGAATTCAAGTGGGAGCCGTGCAACCCGTGCACGCAAGCTAATTTGCGAGAACGGCGCAAGCGGTTGGGCGAGGCTCTGGAGTCGTCTTACCTCACTCGTCGGCGCCGCGAACCCACACATCCTCGCCCGCATCAAGGTTAGAGGCGTTGTCGGCCGCCTGCCCGCGGCGGAGCCAGCCGTCGTCGCCTCCTTCGGCGGCGGGCGTCGCATGCCCAGGGATGCCGTCGTGGGCAGGCGGGAAGGGGGCGGGCTGCTGCACGCGTTCGCGTGCAATCCGCGCATCCTGCTCCATCCATGCGCGGACGAGGACTTCGATACGATTCATCGCGTCGGAGTGGCAGCCCTTGATTGTGTCACACACCAGCTTGGCGGCGGCCACCGTTGCGGTCTCCACCACCCGTGGGCGCTTCGACGTAGGCGTCCCCTGCGGCGTTGGTGCTGCACACGTGAGCCACGTAGAGTTGTATCAGTAGCTGACTAGTGTGTGATATTACGTCACATTTCTTCACTACCCTAAAACAAAGTTGCACAAGTGCCACACCAAAACGTAAAGGTCCGAACATCAGAGTTGTTGCAAACTCACCGGTGAAAGTCGGAGAAGATGTGCATGGTGCTGATGGCGACGGGACTGCGAAACCGCACGGCACGTTGACGTGAGCCGCGCCACCACCGTCGACAGCGTATGGGTTACCAACAGCCTTGTTGTTCTGGAATAGCGCCATGTACGGGTACCATGGAGGCTTGCACACCGCCCCCTTGCCGCTCGCCTTCTCCCCCTTCTTGATCTGCTTGTACACGTTAACGAGGTTGCGCCACTGCTTCTGCAGTGCGTTCATGCCGCGGACCCACCCGGGGTTCTCCTGCTCGAGATGACGCACGAGGCGGGCCCAGTACTGGGATCCCAACTTGCCGAGCAGAGCTCCGAGCTCGTCCTTCATGAACCAATGAGCTGCGACGAAAATGGTGCTCTCGCGGGTAGACCACACGCTCCGCCTGACAGGGTTCAGGTTGCGCGTCTTCGACGTGCCACGAGGAGGCTCTCCACCCTTTGCGGCAGTCTTGGTTCCGGCCGCAGTAGACGCACGGCCGCGACGGGTAGGCGGGGTAGTGGGTTGTGCCTCCTCGGGAACGTCCTCGTCGTCTTCAGCGTCCTCGTCGCCGTCGTCTTCGTCCTCGGAGGGGGACATGCCCTTGTCCGGCTCCTCGCTAGAGTCCGCGTCGTCGTCGTACGCCTCGTCGCAGTCATTGAAACCAGGATCGTCGTCGAAGGCCTCGTCGTCCACGACGCGGTATGATGCAACCCGGTCGGCATGAGGGCGTCTGCGGGTAGGCACGTCACGCGGGGCTTCGAACGAGGTGTCTCCCGCACCGGGCGCACCATCGGGCAGGGGGCCGGCGGGCTTGCGGCCGGCCGCGAGCTGCTTGTTCATCCAAGCGATGTACGGGATCTCGTTGAGATCCCGCGGGCACAAGTCAGTAGTGCTAGCGGCGCTCTTGCGCTTTCGGGCCATGGCTACGGCTGGGAAGAAGGAACAAGAAACAGGAAGGAGAGAGAGCAGGGGTTTGTATAACAAGAATGGACTGGGGCGGGTGAGTGCTGTCTGCGTAGTTGGAATGGTGTGTTGGAAGTCGGGCAGGGATGTGTCATGACGGTCGCATCCACCAGTCATCTGTCTGCAGGGGCAGGGCGGTTTTCCTTTCCCGCTCGAAAATTGCCATGTTCGATTGTCCAGGTGCATGCAGTACAGGGTGACATTTCGGGACGCGTGCGATTTCCGCAAGGTGACGGGGCCTCATGTAACTCTTCCGCGACACCCCCGCAATTCCCGCCAACCAATGTAAAATACTGTGTGAATCGAAGTAATGCGGTCTGCGTTTGTGACACACTACGACATATGCTGATTTCCGGTGTCACAAAGGGTTTGAGACACAAGTTGTCAGAACATTATAGCTTATGATTTTGTGTAGGTTGTAGTGGGGGATCCCATAGGGGGTACAACCCAATCAGGGTTAGTACTTGTACCCACTTCATTCATAGTTGATTCATTCTCGTTTCAGTTTTCTCATGGTATCGAGCAGGTTCCCTCGTGGGAACTGTGCCTAGGGCCCACCAAGTCGAAATTTTTTTTTTCCTGCCCGGAGCGCGCTCAGCCCGAGTCGCGCTCCCCTCTCTGACTTCGTCGAGCCGCCCTAGCGGCCAAGTCGCGCCGCCTTAGCGGCCCCTGATTCGTCGCCCTACCTGCGCCCCGGCCCCGTCGCCCTACCTGCGCCCCGGCCCCGTCGCCCTACCTGCGACCCCGGTCCCGTCGCCCTACCTCACCCCGGCCCCGGCCCCGTCGCCCTACTTGCGACCCCGGCCCCGTCGCCCTACTTGCGACCCCGGCCCCGTCGCCCTACCTGCGCCTCGGCCCCGTCGCCCTACCTGCGTACCGGCCCCGTCGCCTTACCTTCGACCCGGCCCCGTCGCCCTACCTACGGCCCCGCCCCGCCGCCCTACCTGCGGCCCAGCCGCCCTACCTGCGGCCCCGCCGCCCTCACTTGCGGCCCCGCCGCCCTCCCTACGGCCCCGTCACCTGCTGCAGCGCCGCCCGCCACCCGAGCCGCCCGAGCCGCATCACCTAACCGAGCAGCCGACCGCCGCGCCGCCCTGCAACAGCACAGCCCAGCCGCCCAGCAGCTGAGCAGCCGAATAGCCGAGCAGCCGAGCCGCCCAGCAACCGAGCAGCCGAGCCGCCCTGCAGCCGAGCCGCCCAGCAGCCGAGCCGCACTCCAGCCGAGCCGCCGTGCAGCCGAGCCGCCGAGCCGCCCTACCTCCGAGCCGCCCGAGCAGCCCCGTCCGGTAAGCACAGCGCCTCTGTCACTGCACTGCCCTTTCCCTACTGTGTGCGCTGCTAGTCTACTGTTGTCATGGCTACCCCTAGTGTCCTCGCTTTTGACGCCGAGGGTCGAGCCATTGACTTTGACGTCTGGGTAGATGACCTGCAGCTGTTCTTACAGTGCGATAGGGCAGACGGTCTCTCCCTCTTTGACCTCACCTCTGGTGCCTCTCCTGCTCCTACTGCTGATGCTGACGCCACTGTTCGCTCATAGTGGGCCACGCGCGATGCTGCTGCACGTCTTGCTGTGCGTCGCCACCTGCCTACCTCTGAGCGTGCGCACTTTAGTCAGTACAAGAGTGCTCAGACCTTGTACGACGCTGTAGTTGCGCGCTACTCCTCCCCTGCCACTGCTGCACTGAGCCGTCTCATGCTACCGTACCTCTTCCCAGAACTTGCTGCCTTTCCCACAGTCGCTGACCTCATTACGCACCTCCGCACTAGTGACACTCGCTACCGCGCTGCACTTCCTGCTGACTTCTGCGCCAAGAACCCCCCCCCCCATGTACATCACTCTCTACTACATAGTCACTCGCCTCCCTGACTCCCTTCGCGTAGTCAGGGACCACTTTCTCTCTGTCTGTCCCACCACTCTCACTGTTGACCTCCTCGAGAAGTCCCTCCTAGCGGCCGAGAAGAGCATAGTCGCTGTAGGGGCCTCTCGTGGTGACCCGCGCACCCCCATCTTTGAGGGGTGTTCCCCCTCCCCCCTTCTGCCCTCTGTTGCCTCTGCTTCTACGGCCGACCTCCTTGGGCTTGAGTCGGTCGGTGCGGCGTCTGCCCCTAGCGGGCGACGCCGCTCTGGCAAGGGCAAGGGGGGCAGGGGCGCTGGAGGAGCGAGCGGGGGCGGTGGAGGTGGAGGTGGAGGCAGCGGGGGGAGTGGGGGTGGCGGTGAGAGTGGAGGTGGGGGTGAAGGTGTCGGTGGCGGCAGTGGAGGCGGAGGCGGCGGCGGCGGTGGCGATGGGAGCGGGGGTGGCGGAGGTGGCGGCGGTGGAGGAGGCGGCGGAGGCGGCGGTAGTAGCGGAGGCGGCGGAGGCGACGGAGGCGGCTGGGGTGGCGGTGGAGCTGGTCGCGGGTCTACGCAGAGGAGTGGCTCCGGTGGTGGTCTGCGCCAGCAGCAGCAGCGCGGTCGTGAGACACTGTTCCCTCAGCAGCTCCGTGAGTGGTACACTGCACGCCAGCGGGGTGGGGGTTTTGGTCCGTGCACCTACGTCTTGCGCACCGGTGACCGTGCGGGTGAGCAGTGTGGGGGTGCGCACCCCACCCAGCGCTGCTTTGGCCGCCTGACAGACGCGTGGCGTCACCTGTTCCCGGAGGCCACAGAGATCCCTCGCTGGGGCGAGCTGTCTAGGGCGGGTGTTGCCATCTATGATCTTGATTTTGATGCTATTCTTTCTGCCATGTATGCTGTGTCTATTAGTGATGAGGGTGACTGTTACCGGTGTTTCCCGCCAGATCCGGGCATTGAGACTGCTGCTCTAGGTACTGGTGAGGCGGCTACCCTAGGTGCTTGCGACGCTGCTGCTCTAGGTGCTAGTGCGTCTGCGTCCTCAGGTACTGGTGAGTCTGCGCTCTCAGGTGCTACGTCGGCTTCGGCCTCCCTCACCTTCACCCTTGACTCTGGGGCTTCTCGCTCCTTCTTTCGGGACCGCACCACACTCACACCACTTAGTCGGCCGCTTGCGGTGTCTCTCGCTGACCCCTCTGGGGGTCCTGTCCTGTCTCACTTCTCCTCTGTCCTCCCATGTCCGTCGGCTCCCTCTGGCACCCTGTCTGGTCTCTACCTCCCCTCGTTCTCTACGAACCTGGTGAGTGGTGCTGACCTACAGGATGGGGAAGTACACAAGTTCACTCCTGCGCG